CCTGTAAGCGATCACATCAGCCTGATTTCTAAGGCAATCACGACACCGCTTGTGCTGCGTGCCCCCGGAGCCCAGGTTCCATGCGAACAAACGGCCCTGCTAATCATTGACTTCTCCGGAGCTCCTGGCAACTGCAGCTGCTGTTGCGCAGCTGAAAAAAGATGTGACCTTTTAGGAAGCCAAACTGGGGTTGCTTCAACAAACAGTTCCAATCACAAATACGGTGGCTGAAAAAAGCCTGCTGCCATAAAGTTAGGCCACATGCAATGATGCTAACAAAATAATTAAATACTACCAATAATGAGTGCTAGTTAAGCCTTCATATTGAAATGAATTGGTGTTACCTTAAGATATGGCTCAGTTTCATTTTCTCTCCTAACTCACAACATTTAACCCATCCTTTTAATGACCTCTTACCAACTTTTTAACAAAAAAGCAGATTCCCTTATAACTTGGAACACAATTAAAAGAAAAAAAGGGTGTGAATCTTGGAAATGCTGACTAGCAAAGGGAATCAAAGCTTCCCTTGAGAATAAAAAGAACACACATAGCTTACTGACAGACCAAAAATAGTCTAATCCTAACGCTGAAGATGCTAAAATTGCAGAAGAATAACAGTAATGTGAAAAGAAATTATTCTTTTCACATTCTCCATGGTGCCCAGATACCTGGAAATTATTCCCCAAGGAAGTATCACCAAAATCATATAAAGCAGTATGCAACCCTCCTTTAAACAAAGGAGCAAAAACCACCTCAAAACCACGTGCTCTCCTCTCTCCGCTTGGTGTTTTCAGCCAACTGGCAAGGGTTAGGCTACTAGTATGCTGGATCCTCTACACATCAGCATTATTTCCTGTCTACCTGTATTCACTTGTCATTTCCCATTTTACAGATCTAAAGTTTATTACAACATTGACTTCCTCCTGTCCCAACACGTTGCCTATGATTAGGGCTCCTAGTCAACCACAGGGAGATAAATACCATCAGCACTGGTTTGAAACCAGAATAAGGCCTGCAACAGCTCATAGCAACTGAGGCAACAGACTTAAAAATATATTGTCTACATACATCATTCTCTCTAAGACATAATTGCACTAAAGCCACTATAGACATGACATAATTTCGCGCAACTTAGTAGCATTGCAATGTGCTCTAACAGTAAGAACTGAGATGTCACACGGCCTCTGTACCTGTGCCCATTCTGCTAGATTCTTACTGCGCAGATCTTATCCCATGTGAATCCCACCGTCTGCCACCAAACATCTGCACACATACCTCAGGGGGTGCAGATTTGTTCCTTATCATACTACAGTGACAAACTTCTCAAGCACATGTAATTTCACGTTCCTTTGTGCTAAAATGCTTGCCTGGCAGATGTGTAGATTTTTCTAGCACTCAGTGAAAAATGTACAGGAAAGTAAGAATTTAGGAGATTTGAAAATGGATGCAAATTACGCATATGACATAATATATACTAGAAACAAAGAGCTTGTAAGTGTACCAGTCACTTCCTCCAAATTCCATCTGAATTCTGAAATGGGGTCAGAACGACACTTTGAGTTATAACTACTGAACACGTCGCCTACAAGAGCAGATACGCACTACATCATTCCTGTGAAGATACAAAGACCACAGGTGAAGAAAACTGTTATCACAGACACTATTCCCATCTGATGGAAAATTAATGACTCAGTTTATACGCAGATATGAAAATAAAAAGGACAAAGCTGACAATCGTGTAATTCCAGTCAGATTTCAACTACGGATTCATTTCACTCAACGAAACTGACTTTTTCTTACTTCCTCCTCTTGCACACACCGCTGTTTAGCGCAGCTGTCAGCAGCTAATCGAACTGGAGACCACCAGCATGATCACAGACCATTCCAGCCTACTCAGCCTTCAGACTGTCGGTCAAAAATCAGTACACAGGACAGCAGGCAGAAAGCAGAAATAGGTAGAATCGTTCACTCTGCTACGCTTCCTAAATCAACCCCTGAAACGAAAACAGTGATTGGCAAGACATCAAGCTGAGCAAGAAACAACCTAAAGGAAGATATTAATTAAACCTCTACCGGAGATCTAATAAATAAGAAAGAAGCAATGAAGCAGAAAAAACACCTGATATTTAACGCACCAAAGCCCCTTTACCATGTTGGAAGTAAATGAAAGCCCTAAGCAGGTGAAAATCTCTACAGCTGTTCTGCAGTACTGGACGTGTGTCTCACAATATGAGCTAGCTTTCGCCCTGGCACCCTCAAATCTGGATGTGACCCAATGTCATAGACAGTTGTGGGAATTGTTCTAGCTAGGTTTCTGGAGGGTGTAGAAGCACACGAAAAAGAAAACAAATCTGATAACAAAGTGTTTGTCCAGCTTTTTTCAAGATCACATTAAATATGTTGAGAAGGCTAGTATCTTTTGGAAGCATCTCCAAAAACTGCAACAGATCACTGAGGGGCATGGAATAGTTTTATCAAATAAAGGTGCTTCAGGAATATATAACTCCACACGCTAAGTGCTTTTCATTTCAGCCATGGCACCACACTGTATAAAGGTGCACAGCTCTGCATCCATAAAATTGAACGGGAGGACGCTTACAGGCTACGTGTTCATAGAACCACAGAACCATTTAGGTTGGAAAAAGCCTCCACGATCACCAAGTACAACTGTTAACCTTGCGCTGCCAAGTCTATCACTAAGCCGCATCCCTAAGTACCACACCCACACGTCTTTTGAATACCTCCAAGGATGGTGACTCAGCCACCTGGGCAGCCTTTCTCAGTGCTGCACGGACCTTTCTGTGAAGAAATTTTTCCTGTTACCCAACCTAAACCTCCCCTGGTGCAGCTTGAGGCCGTTGCCTCTTGTCCTATCACACATTGCTTGGGAGGAAACCAATCTCCACGCCGGGACAGCCTCCTTTGAGGCAGCTGTAGAGAGCAAAAAGGTCGCCCCTGAGCCTCCTCTTCTCCAGGCTCAACAAGCCCAGCTCCCTCAGCCACTCCTCAGCAGACTTGTGCTCTAGACCTTGTTCCAGCTTCGTCGCCCTTCTCTGGACTCGCTCGAGCACCTCCACGCCCTTCTTGTAGCGAGGGGCCCAAAACTGAACACAGTACTCGAGGTGCGGCCTCACCAGCGCCGAGTACAGGGGACGCTCACCCCCCAGCCCTGCCGCCACACGGCTCCTGACACCACCCAGGCTGCTGCCGGCTCGGTGCTGCAGGGCGCGGCACCGGGCTGGTGCCTGGGTTTCTCTCCGCCCACCTCAGCCCCTCGGGCCCGACCGCCCGGCCGGCGTTTAACCGCGGAGCGCCCCCCGCCTCAGCAGGCTGCCCCCGGCACCCCCGCGCCGCCCCCCGCCCGGCCGCAGCTCCCGGCCCCGGCACCCCCCGCCCCTCCCCGCCGCGGACCGACCTGGCCGGGCCGGGCCCGGGCCGCGCTGAGGGAGGGGAGGGGAGGGGAGGGGAGGGCGGGGCCGGGCGGGGACCGTTACCTGCGTCACGTGAGCCGCGCGCGCACGGAGGTCGCGGCGGGGCGGGGCCGCCTCGCGCAGGCCACGCCCCCTCCCCCCCCCTCCCACCTCCCCCGCGGACTCCGCGGCCCCTCAGCGCGGCGCCCCCGCCGCCATGTTGGGGCCGCGCCCCGCAGCCCTGGCGCCTCGGTCGCGTTCAGCGCTTTGTAGTGCCGCTTTTTCGCAGGCTCCGAGCCGCCCCCCTCAGCCTCACGGTGCTCTGTGGCACGGCCTCAGTGCTGCGGGCTCAGAGCAGCCCTGCGAAGGGAGAGGCGCTGCCCCCGGCTGGCCAGGTGCTGGCTGAGCCCCCTGGCAAGGGGTGGGGTGGCACAGCGCTGGGCGCTACAGCTGCTAATTGGGCGCCAACCTCATTAGGAGCAGGCAGAAGCCATCTTCAGAGCAATCACGGTACGCTGACTGAACGTGAATTCAATTAAAAATTATGGTGAGGACAAGCAGGCCTTCCCTCCACTTGGGAGGGAAACCCGTGTGTCACATCTGGCTGAGCAGGGCACGCAGGGTTGGGCGGACACCAAGATTTTCTGTAGGGTTTAAGTGTTTATTGTGTTCCCTGTAGCCTTTCCCCTTTTCCACAACGTTTTTTTTTTTTTTTAATGCTTCACACACCGGGAATATGCATGCTTGAAACAGCAAAATTCTCACTGTGGTACCGTGCTTTGGAGCAAATCCCAAGTGTCCCAGTGCTTGTCAGAACTATTTATTTCCCTCCTCTCACTCCCACTCAGCTGCCACTGCCTGTCCCATCAGCTCCTGCTGCGCTAAGGATCTGAAGCCAGCTCTGTACTGAACTGATGTCTGTATGTCAGAGAAGTTTTGCACTTCTCTGACAAATATGTAACAGAGGATAGTTGCAATGGTGCCTCTGGAATGGAAGTTGGATGTAAAAACTGGATATTGTGTCGAAAAACACACTGCCTAACTATATCTTCATTTACTTCATTTACTTAACTCAGGCATGAGTTAACAAGACTAGAAGCAACCTGCTTTAAGAAACCAAAAAAAAAACAAAGCACACTTTAACAAATCCAGAACCAAACTGGTTTTGGAAATACACTGCGTTGCCCTTTGGTTCTCCTAAACAGCAAGGGGCTTGATGTGACCTATCATTTTTTCTACTGTATAGCATCTCATGACTCTGTAACGCGGTCCTCTGTCCTTGCTTGGTTCTGGTACATCAGTATCCTTGCCGGATCGGCAGATACTTGCAATCAGCATTGCAGTTCCTATGGTTAATTGCTTCACACAACTCTCTCAATAACACAGCATGACTTCTCAGTAGGCTTGTTTCTTCAAAGGGTAATCTCATAGGAGGTGGTCTGGATACAGGATTACTCATAGAAGGACAATCTCATTAACAGCTTCCCCTCCTGAGATAGATGTATTTGTATATTTTTGGCAACTCTTAGTTGTTACTGGTAATGCAATTCCACTAGAGATGATGCTTACCAGAAGTTCTCATAGGCCAAGTCTAGAAACTCCATTTTACTTTATTTCCCAATGTATTTATTACACATTAAATCTAAAAACGTATTCATAGGTTCACATCTAGAGTACCGTCTCTTAAAGCAAGGCACATGGGAAATGCTAAGGCAAGTGTTCACTTTGAGCCTAACAATACAAGCAGTGCATATCCTGTGATGCTTGCAGTAGTTGGCTCAAAGGAGTTCCAGTGAACACCCTTCCCTGCTTCTTATCTGCAGCAGGTGCACAGCCAGGTTCAGCACATTCCGCTTGCTACTACTATGAAGTCAACATGTGAATCCATGCCCCTAATGCACCAGTGCTTTCTCCCAGTCTCTTTTATCTTGCTTTTTGTCAGCGGAACAGGGACCCAGGGACATGGTAGATGCTCCATTGTTGGAGGTTTTGAGGCAAGACTGGACAAAGCCCTGGTCCGACTCCAGTGTTGACCCTGCTTTGAGCAGGAGGTTGCCCAGTCTGGCCTCCAAAGTTCCTGCAGGCATGACAGAAGCATCTGTGTTTCATACCAATTTCACAGCAGAAGTCATGGCAAGTCTAAAGTTAAGCATGCAGTTATGATTTGGTCAACAGTTAGACTCTTACCTGTAGTTTTAGATGGATAGCACCTGTCTCATTTTCAATTTTTCTTCATTCTAAGTTTTCAGGCTATATTGCCCTGGATAGAACAGTGCCTTAGAAGTACAGAATGCTTTCCTGAAGATGAAGGTAACTGGAAGAAGCTTCTCAACCGATTCTGGCCAACAGGTTGTTTTCAAGTTTGTTCTCGTTCTTCAAACATATTCATAGGTAGAATCACACTGTAGGAACCTGCTTATGGATCCGTGGATCCATTTCAGAGAGATAAACTAGGCAATAAAGCCAAATGAAAATCATTAAAACATAACTTCTGTCTGGCTTTCACAAGTGTTTGCTAGTAGATTAACCCACTACAAATACAGTAACAACAACCCTTTGCTGTAATTATTTTTCTGATACGCGACTTTATTATATCCAGGAAGCACATACAAAGCAGCAAGAGGAGTAGGCTAGGGAAGAACACCGGCATACAACATTTAGCTTCCAGATAATGAATTCTTGTTGAAATTACACAGAGCACTAAACTTATCCTAGTATTTTATCCTAGTATTTTATTGGGAAGTTAACAAGGGAAGCAACAAAGTGTCTTCCCACTAACTGTGGAAGTGAATCAATACTGGCACTGCAAAAAAGCCTGCCAGCATTTGGTATGTTGATGACAAGCGAAGCAGTGCTAACTGCTGTTTCCTTAACTCAGAAAGAATTTGAAATGCTAGTTTTTCTATTTTAACAATGGGTTAGGAGAAAATTGCTAGAAAATTGTTTTCAATATTTGTAGGTGTTTCATTAGAGATTCCTCACAAAAAAAAAAAAAAAAAAAAAAAAAAAAAAAAAAGTATTTATTCTTGATAACTTTATTTTAGCTACATCTAAAACACACCACATTTTTTTCAGATTGTCCTTTTAGGTGAAAATAAAACTCTAAGGTACCCTGACATCAGCAATGGAAGAATTATCCTCATCTTTCATTCTATACCACTGGCTGTGTTTTCTTCAGGAGGATCTATTTTGATTTTTAATGCTATTTAACCTGATGAGGGAATGTGTAATTATCTTACCTCTTCTTTAATTTGGAAGAAAATAAATAAGGCAAGACACTTCACCATCAGTTAAAACTTCTAGGGTATCTGAGGTTTGCAGCTCTCACTGGGAGTAGGTTTGCTAATGAAGCTTTTGAAGCCACAGTGGTAGTGTCTGATTGTAATTGCTGAAAGGTGATTCTTGAAGAGGTTTATTTGCACTAATCAACACCATGTTGTGCCTCAAAGCCTGAGTTCTCTTAGATGCACTGTTCCTACCGAGTTATTCTCCAGTAACTATACAGCCTTTTCTGTTTACTTCTGTTCTGGCACCATATCTGTTTTTTTTTTTTTTTTTTTTTTTAAAATGGAATCCTTTGAAGCTGCTCTTCAAACCTGTTGTACAGTTAAAACTTCGTAATTTCTTTCTAACACTTTCCTCTTGCAGCCCCCAACCCCTTCTCCCCTGTTGCCTGACCCAAAGGGACCGTTATCAAAAGTGTTAATGTAAAATATCCAAGGGCTCAAGGGTGGGCTGTAAACATCAAATCTATCACATCCGGAGTAACAATAATTTCTTTGTTTCTAAATGGCCACCATTAGGAAAATTTCACAATGCTAGAAGCAGCTAGACCATATTAGAATTTCTTATCTGCAGCTAGACCATATTAGAATTTCTTATCTATAACTGGAGCAGCTTTGCACTTCCTTTAATCTTTGTTGCCTGTATTTTACTGTAAAGTTGTTCTTCTTGTAGGAAAGTAGGAAAGTACTCCTTGTAGGAGTAGGAAATAGTCTGAGAATCTCAGTCATCAAGATGAGCTCACAGTTCGTGTTTCACCTGGCCTGCAAATCCATTAGCAGCCGCCATATCACTGGATGGATTTTCAGAAAAAATAATGGTGGTGTTATTGGAAAAATGCAACAGCTCAGCCAAAGCTTGCCCCCAACATGTTGTTTTGTGCTTATTTTATTAGCTCAATGTAAGTTGTTCTCAATTTGCTCTAAATTCCTTGCAAACTAAATTGCTGTACTGCTCAGGCTTTCACGTTACGTGTCCTCCCATTTTACAAATCTTCATCTGGATGCTGAGCTCACTGAATCATATCAACACTTCTTAACATGAGGCAGCTGTGGTGCTCTGGATCTAACACTAAGTTTTTGTTTCTCTAGTTTTCTTGCCAGGCCAGCAAACAAAGGGCGCCTTTAGGGCGTTTGTTTTACTAAGGTGAGAGCGGTGCTGCTACAGCTTTATTTTAAAGCATTTTGAGTGCGTTTGTGAAATCCTGGGCTGATTTATCATAATATCACCTTGATCGCACAGTACGCTACATGAAGAAGAAAACCATCAAGTGAAAAGCAGAAGCCACAGTGAGATGAGATTTAGATCATAATGATGTTAGGTTTGGATTTTTATCCCTATTTTTATCCTGTTGCATGTCAGTCAAAGGCAATTACAGACATTGCCTTAAAAGAGCAGAGGACCTTTCCGGCATAACACCCGCTCCCATGGACTTGCACGCTGTTTGTGGAAGGCTGTCACTGAAGCCAATTAAAGAAAAAAATAGAGAACTCTGTAAAGATATTTGGAAAGTGAGAGATAAATCCTACCTGTCATTTCATACTCAATCCAGCCAACAAATCATGAGCCTCACTCATTACCACCGCTGCACGTTGTAGCAAGAGAAGGATCTAGCTCTGAGTAGCAAGGATTGCGTGTCACTTTGGGGACTGTGATTAGCCCAAGTCTTACATAAATGAGTCTGAAGCTGACAGTTCACTCAATGCTCTAAAACCGCTAAGAATAGCTGGCACACACTGTCACCACGGGCGCTCCGCGTGCGACAGAGGCTTAGACGGAGCGAGGTGGAGACTGAATTACGATCCCTGGTGCAGACAGGGTGAGCCTTGCAGGCCACGGCTGAGCTCATCGGCGAGACACCACTGAGGAGCCGAGTGGCAACGTGGCCAGCAGACCAGAGCACAAAGAGAGGAAGCAAGCATTTTGTGTAAACAAAGCCTTTCAGACGGAGTTAGCACCTTCCCAAACACGGGCCAAAACACACATGGGTCTCATCTGGGAGGTCAAATTTTGTGGCACTTCTCTGTTTTACCTTTGTAACAAAAATGTACAACCTGTATCACCTGAACCCTAACAGAGCAGCTCAGGTCCCTGACCTTCTGTCTCATTCTCTCACCCAGACGACCTTAGATAATCTCCCCCACCTGGGCATATTCATTTTTGGAAATACCTAAGATACAAACTACTAAACATGACAGTATGGTACTTTGGCCACCAGTTACTCGTATTTTGTCTCAACCCTGAAGAAATACTAAAGCAGCAGTGAATACCTGGCATTATCTTTTATTTTGAAACAACAGATCTGGTCATTGTGATCTAAACATCACATGCACACCATTCAATAAAGCACTGGCTGAGTATTACGAGGGATCAGGATTTGAAGCTGGATTTAACTTCTGAAGTCATAGTTCTATCGGATCATTGCCACAAGTTTTCAGAACAGCAAAGCCTTACTTAGCCTGGTCATTTAATGTATAAATGCATTATTTGACCATAGACCAAATGTTTTTCATGGGTACAATTTTACACAAATCTGTCAGGAGGTTTTACTGGACTGTAACAGAAACCAATCTAAAAGTAATTTATTGACATTTTGGGGGCTATCTGAAGGTTGCATGTAATCAAGATTTGAGGCAAAAATGGGGATGTTTGTTTAAAGCAAACAGGAATTCAATTATCCTTGAAACCCTTGAAACTGCTGGGACCAAAAGCTTTCCTAATAGGCAAAGGAAACAACGCCCAAAACTGACATGCAGAAGGTGCAAGTTCATCTGATTGTTCCTGGATCTCACATGCCAATGACTGACAAACAATTTTAAGCAGTCAAAAACAAAAAATCACAAAGTCATCTGTCTTCCACCTGACTAAGTACTTAATTTGCACTAAAAAAACACTAGTCCTCATGATTGCCCATAATCAAGTGGTCAAGTTTCAGATAGCAAAAAAAAAGCTTAAATTTCATTGCATTATTAATCTCCTGTATTTGGCTGTTATTTTGTGTGTGTGGAGATGGCAGAATGAAGGACTGGTGGACCCAATCAATCAGTAGGTGTTTTTTTCATCATCAATGCTCAGGGAATTGTCATCATCAACAATAAAGTCTAAACGCCACTTGGCTGAGATTTACAGCACGAAAGAATTAGAAGCCGCCTTCTCTCCAGTTATGGTATGTTCAGTCCTTCCTCAGCACACGCTGATCTTTTTGTCTTTCTCCTCAAAATGCAAAAGTTTTGATTTTCCACAGCTTGTAGCAATCAGGCATCCCTTAATTCCTGACCCATATTTGGAGTAGGTCAAGTAATTATGAATGAAAATGCCACTTTGTTTGTACGAATTTTGTTTATGACAGAGATTAAGTTATTAAATTTGTACTCCTGGCATCTTATTAATACTGTTCTGCTGTAAAATTCCTCAGGCAACAGGCAAAATAATGACTTAAAACTCCTGCAGAATAATTACCTTACAATGCAGGCATTTTGAAGACAGCGTTAGCTCTGGATTTGAAAATACAATTTTTTAGGACCTTATCCATTATATAAAAGGGTGCAAAACACAATTACCTTAATTTATTTTCATGACATTTTGGTTCGGATCCAATCAATTCTTAGTACATTAAAGAAAATCTTGTCGTTATTCAATGATGAAATTTAGCTATTCAAAGCAGTTTTCTTAACCTTTAATTTTGAAAATGTAAATCTTCAGATCTTAGCAAAATGAACTTCTTGCCATGGTCACACACTTTGATTTATACAATATCATTTTTGTAACTGGTGTGCCAAGGCATTCTGAAGAATGAAATAAATTAACAAATTCAGCACTTTCCATCAAATTCCAGCTGAAAGCAGTGTACATCTGAACAAGAGTGATGTCCTTACTAATAAAGGCACACAAGAGGGTTCTTCCAATGCATCTCTAAAGCAGATTTAGTAAACTACATCTAAATCTTAAGTGGATACTCCTCAAAATTAATTAGCTTGATTTAGCTTCCTTTGCTTCCAACTGGAAATAAACAGTTTTATACACACATTAAATTTTTGGGTTGACCTGTGTGGTGCCAGGAGTTGGGCTCGATGATCCTTCTGGGTCCCTTCCAACTTGGGATATTCGACGATTCTATTCTATGATAAAGGTCATCGTTTGAGATAATTAACTTGCCTGAATGTTCGTTCCTTTGTAGGTACACCTGATGTGAAAACAGCATAACAGATTAATTCAGCAAGTAGATTTCCTTTCGAAGTGAAACAGTCCAAATTCCTGCAATGGGAAAAAAAAAATATTTTGCAGAAGCTCTGCTGTGTACAGGTTCCACTGCTCTCTGCTTGGGAGGTTTACAGCTGATTAACTATGCATTAACAACCTGCTCTCCCAATGGTTTGTGACAGCTTCTTGGAGCTGCTGCAAAATATGCATCAACCAGCGTGCACAGCATGGTGTGTGCGCATCCCCATGCATCCATAAAGCTCCTGGCCCTGTGCCACAGTATTACTGAGAAGACTTGGAACATACCAGGGCTTCCTTTAACTGCGCACCAAGCGCCACCTGCCAGAACCACGTAATTAACCCTAGCTGACAGCTCCGTTAAACAAAAATTGATGGTATTGCTGTAATGGAGTTATCAGTGACAGATACCTCCTGTACAGCTTCCAGGTCACACTCACTTAAGCAATGATAAACGAGCATAAAACACTGTTAGCACAAACCAAGATCATAAATACTCAATTTTTAGTTAAAAAAATAATAATAAAAAAAGCAACTTCAGACAGCTGCAGCATCTTGCAATTTCCATGGCTTTATGGCTGTGTTCACTCTTGTCAAAAACGTACCACAAAATACAAAAAGGAGGGATTTGGTAGATATATGGATGCTTATATAAATATAGATATGTATTGATGTATATATATATATATACATATACATATATATATATATACACACACACACAAGTTCTTCATCCAGACTTCACTAATACTGCTTCACCATACTCTGGCTAATCCACAAATACATTGGTGAACCTGAAGGAATTTGAAGCCGCTCTTGGTAACCCAGCATTCTACATCCATCCATCCATCCTTCCTGGGAAGTTACTTAGGCTGAGAGAACATTTGAACAGCTTGGAATGTAAACATTGGGTGTTGAGAAATTTGGTTGTCTGGGACTCCAGTATCCAAGTACTGACATAGCTGGGACGCCAATGATTTGCAACTGAGAAAGAAAAAGACAACTGTGGGATTGCAATTGTGGTTTATCCCCAAGGAGTTTTCTCGTCAGGGCTGTACTTGCCATTAATGGAATTTATTCTTGAGTGAGGTTGCCAGCCGCAGTTAGATCGGTGGCAGGTTGGGACAGGAGACTGGCAGCCACTTTCCCAAAGCAGAAGCAGAGTCTTGGAGCAAGTTCTCATGTTTCCTCATCACCTGGGATTTACAGGTTATAACATGAACAGCACCAACCCTGTTCTACCCAGTCCAACTACCTGAAGCCTACCACCTCCAGGCTGTCCAATGCTTAGCCAGATGCCTCATAGGTAGTGATAATGTTGCAGCCACTTGTGTGAGAAAGATTAAATCTAAAACCAGAAACAACAAGCAGTGCTTGAGGATAAAGGGAGAACTATTGTGTAGTAGCAAGCGCATGGGCAGCCGGACAGAGCATTACGCAGGACACCCCTGGTCAGCACCGCTCACTCACGTGGTTCTGGTTCACTTTGTGATCAGGCCCTCCCTGTTCTGTTTGCCACCAAAGACTCATTTTTTTGAGCATTACAAGCACAGTTCTGCCTCAGACCAACCTTTCTTTATCAAACACACTAGATAAATTTGCATATTTGTTAACTTACTTAACACACACAGCAGATTTAGGTATGGCTTACTCTTAGAAGAAAAAGGTCATAAATAAGCCAGGAAATGGGAGCAACTGCAGGATGGAACAGCAATAGGAAGGAGCAATCACCAAGAGCATCTAATTTAGGAGCTGCTCTGAGGGATTGCCATTTGAACTGCCCTGAGGTTGACTTAAGGCTGATTTGCATGGTATTTAAATACACAAACATCCTCAGTGCATGTCCAAACTGAGGAGGCAAATTAAGAAAAATATTTTAGCGTTCAGTTGCTCACGGTAATTGAGAACTTGGGTTCTCAGTGTCTTTGGTTTATCTGCCCCCACATAAACACCACCCTGTATCACTAGAGCTAGTTGAAATGCCCTGAGGTAGCAAATAACCAGCTAAGACCTCTGGTCTACTGCGATAATAAACGTGGTGGCTGCTTGCACACTGCAAGTGAAGGTTTTTACTAATTCTACAACTGCACCTTTTAAAAACAAGCCCCCCCCCTTTTTTTTTTTTTTTATCCTGCTTCCTCTTCTTTCAAAATAGAGATGAAAAACCCACAAGGCCACTGACATTATAAACAGCAACTTCTTTAGATGCACCAAATGTCATTTTTAATTCTTACTTGAGAAATCCAACGATCCAACATATTTGGCTGGAATGATACAAATGTTAAAATATCTTTAAGGAAGTCCATGTTTTGTTGCAATTGCTGCTGGACTTTAGTGGCTTCAATCACACAGCGAACTTCCATAAACTCAGATACATCTAAAACCTTAGGAGCAATCAGAGGTTATTTTATCTTAATTTTCTGTAATGTTAAAAATATAATTCCTTACTGATTTTTGAAAAAAAACTCAGTAACATTCTCCCATTTAGGGGGAACCAGTCCCACTTTTACAAACCATGAAAAACATTTACACAACACATTCACTGTTTGTTTCCTTAGGCTCTTAGGTGCATTTCCTTCATGAAGTTCAAAGACTAACTGAACAATTAGTTGCTTCTCAAACACAAATTAGGAATTAATATCAAAATGTCTGCATATGGCCATATACATTTATGAAATCTCCCACTAATGCTCACACTCTCCATATTCACAGTAGTTACTTCCGTTTTAAATTGCTGTGCAGACTGAATCATCTGCTATGTCATTGTCATACAGCATAAACATATTATTTTTGAGACAGAATAATTATTAGATTAACTACTGTTGTAGGATTAACAGTCACGAGATGTAACTATTACTGTAGTCACTACCATTGTCATCTACATTCAAATGTGCTGGGAATTTCTCTGTCCTCAGAAGTATATTAAGAGACAAAGCAGACCGCATTGCTTCAATGTTTTTTTTTTTAATTATATTCCTACAAAAATCATGTAAACATTAGCATACAGATCCAGAAAAAAAATCAATATAATATAATGATGCATAAATTGTAAGTTTTGAAGAATGTCAGGAACAGTTCACCAGTCTATAAATTAATATATACAGTAATGGGTACTCATCCTTAGGTAAGAACACCTCATAACTGAGGAATTTAGGTGAAAGAGCTGTAAAACAAACAGAAGTGCTCTGTCACCAACTTTACTATGAGGCAACATGGCAATCTAAATGACTGCCTGTTGTTGTTTCATATTAAGGATTCAATTTAGCTGCTAAAACAAGTATAAAACAATAGTTTTGGTAAGAAGTTTATTTGAAAACATATATCAAACATCCTTAAAGTAATAAAAAACAAAAAAACAATACTCTATAAACAAGTTTCTGGAAGAGTGAATCTGAAGCTTACTAGGCTGCACAAAGATCCTCAGCCTCTCCACTCCACACTGCTCCAAGCAGAGCACCAAAACTCATCTCTAGCTGAAGGAAATATCTCAGGTAGTTTATAAATGGAGAACAGTGGCTGGATGGAAGAAGTGAGATGCAGAACACATATTGGGCTGATTCAAAATTTCTGCTTCCACATGCAGCATTCCGGGCAGTGTAGCTCTTTATTGAATTAGAAAGTCATGGTAATGTAACACCATTGTTACCTTGTTAACTCTCAGCTCTTTTGCTTCCAGAAAAACAGAACAAAACAAACAAAAACAACAAAAATACAATCTTCCTGCCTGCAATCAAAGTCATGTCCCAAGTGTTCTTGAACACTGCCCTTTACAAGACCAGGGACACAAGGTAGAACACAGGATGCATTATTCTTACTCAGATGACACAAACAGAAAAATTAATTTTCTTTTTCTCCTGTCCATATAACCGTATTTCATAGGAAAAAGTATATGGGAAACACATCATAAAGAATAATCTCAAATAAAAGGTATTCTCCCCCATGTTAGAAAAGCCTCTGGTATCAGTGAAAATACAGACTACAGAAGATGACTAGGAATTTCCTGGAAATACTTGACACTGCAAAAACTCTCAACTGAATACACTACTGTATGATCCTCAGACAATCTTTCCAGAGTTAAATATATTTTTCTGTTTCTAGAGTTGAAGTAGATTTTTTTGTCATCTTATTTGGTACATTTTTCATACACAAAAACATCACTTCCCCTCACAATGAATATTGCACTAATAAAGATGTATTTATTTACAAGAAAGGGGAGGTCACCTCTAGCCACCTAAAGCTTTTTGCTATATCTTCTTCCAGTTGGTTAGGAACAAATTCTGTTTACCTTTTCTATAGGAAATCCTGAGTAGTTAAGTGAAGAAAACTTGGCAGCTAGCACCAATTTTCTTTCTTTCTTCTTAATTAACCAGGGGCATTTGTCATCAGCAGTGCATCTAGAAATGCTGTCATAGTTGAACCTAAATGCCGAAATAAGAGCTTATGATAAAACATTTACTCCTATTGCCAGAATCTCAACCAACACTGAAACACTAGGAGCAGGAGAAAAGAGTTCCACTAACCTAGAGGATGCAAGCTGCAAACGGCCTGAAATTCTATCCCATTTTTTTTTCTTAAAACGGACACAGGTGGAGAAAACCACAGCTGGTAAGAATAATAGGAAGAAATCGCTTAAGCTGCTGTGTCCATCACCTTTTGAGCAACACACTTCCAACCTGCCCACTGCAGTGTCAATTCTGCAGGTACTTGCAAATGACCAAAACTCTTTGCTGCTGCTCTCCCACCTGAGCAGCTCAAGCAGTGAGTGCTTTATTGCAAGGCAGTAACTAAATGCTGGAAGCTGTTGGTAGTCTAAATTATACTTCAGGATTAGAGAGGTTTTATCAGACATTAGCCAAAAGGATGTGTTGGTACTACAGCCTCAGCTCTCTATGTTTCCTGCTGCTGTTTTACTTGTGTTGCTAAGCTGGTAATAGCTATGACAGACCAGACAAATCTAATACAGAAGAGGTTAAACTAAGCAATTTGGGCTTAAACTTAAACTCAGTTTAAATTTCTGATAAACTAACATTCCATTGAATTGGCCCTGTATGCAGACCTGGAGAAGTTTTTTCACAGATTTATCTGCAGTTTTGTGTAAAATATTAATGTACTACAGAAACATTAATTTGTTACTCATAGAGACAGTAATAGCACAGCTTTTACACGCCTTTTGATCCTTTTTCAACATAATCATTCCCATGTCTCGAAAGACAAGGGCACAAACAACTAACAAGACCTTAGTTTTTATCTGTAGCTTGAAGATGCTCCTCCCACTGATAAGTAAACGATTTCCATTACCTTACGTTATCCCATGGGGATTTTATGCTCACATACATACATATTGCAATAAAGGAGAACTGATATGAGGATATAAACACGATTAATTCTGATGAAGTTGCCAACAGTGAACTTTGAGAAACTTCAGATATACTATGTTTAAGACCTTGTTCCGTGTTGTAACAGCACCAACAAAACGGCTTTTAAGTTTCATTTGAAAAACGTTTCTTTTTGTTTGTAACTTTGATCATGTTTCTCATTTCCCAGCCTTCTATACTTCAGACTTTCTCTACTTCTTCAAAACTTTTTGTCTGATTTGGTAAAGATACAGCAGTTGTGAAATACTTTACAGCTCCCTCCACAATCTTTTCGTCTTCAGCCATTTATTAAAAAGTATATTAAAAACAGGACATTAAGTTAAATGAATGAAAAAGCTGGTAAGAACAATGAAAGTACCGTGGCAGTCTTAACGAGGTAATCAAATTATTACAACTTTCAGTACAAGTGACCCTTACAATGCTTCTCTCTAAAATCACCCCAGGAGCGATAGAGCTCCACATACTCCAGCACTAAGTTCAGTAAGAAATCTAGATAAGATCTCTCAAAAATAAAGGCAAAAGAGTACAGAGAAATCTTCTGAAGTCCTTCAGCAATCTCTTGACTGAAATACAAGTGTGTCCAAAATCTCCTGCTTAACAAGGTGTAATGCAAACTAGATTTACCAAGGAAATCCCTTCTGTACACACATGAACAAGGTTTTTCATGTATGAAACTATCAAACAAACAGAAAAACCTCTCATAGTTCAATTTTTGTTTGATGTTTGATAACTACCAATGCAACCAATATATATTAAGGTATCCAATTCATACATTACACTCAGCAATTCAAACAATATACCAGTGGGAGGAGGAGCTGAACAGTATTCTGATCAAGCACATTTATTTTAGTCCTCAAAGCACAACCCTTTTTCTTCATCATCATCGTCAGTAGAATCTGCATAGGATTCAACGGTGTTATATATGAACGAGTACAGCTTGACATCTGGTCCTGAAGTAGAACAGCATCTGCATTCTTCATTGTAGTATCTGAGTAACAGCCTATAAATGTCCCCTTAAAAATAAAAAGAAGTAATGTTTTAAAAAAAATGTAAGATCATGAGTAAGATCATGCTATGCAAAGAATGTATGGCTGCAACTGAAGACTAGAATCGCGCACACACTAAAACACTCCCCAGGAACATTCTTTACATGAGAAGTGAATGAGGAGGTAGACAACTGCATAAGGGGAGCCCTCCTGTTTCCAAGTTTGTTAGAACATAGGGTGGACTCCCTCCACTTTCTGTTCAGCTCACTGCAGAAGCTATCTGACCTTTGCTTTGCATACGTACCACTTACAAACGTACTGCCAATTACCCAGCTTTGTGCTTCTATCCCAGACACTTCACAGTTACAGTGGGGCAAGGGATTTATTGCTTTTCTTGTATTGCTGCTGTGTAACAGATCTGACTACTAATTCTTCTTACAGCTTTACAGGATTAAGCCAGAACCACAATAAGACATCTCTAGCAACAATGTGAAGAAGGTGTAAGCAGATTTTTTTTTTTTGGAATTATTTTGAGTTACATTAAAAAAAAACTTTTACAAATCTTTGGTCTACCATATATATGTATTTTCATTTTCCAAATTCTGGAGCATAACTCCAAAGTGTGTTATTCAGGGATTCTAGAAGTCCAACAGATAAACATTGTTCAGCTGACCCTGAATCAAGAGCTCCCTGCTCTGAAAACAGGTGCAAATAAACTGAGATCCACTTGCTTGGGTTCAGAACTTGATTACAGTAATTCTTACTGGACAGTTTCCACTTACAGAGAAGTCTCTGCTGAATGAAAAGATTTTTGTATGCTCACCAACAGTTTGGCCCTTCTCACAGAGAAAAGTGTGCATGCTGTAAATATCTCGCATCAGCTCCACATCTCCAAAGGTAAAATAAACAACATCGCGTCCAGACTCAGCAGCTGCCAATATCTGTATTAAGGCTGAAATAACAGAAAATGAGATTACACTCATGAATGCAGGATAAAACAAGTTGTTGAAGGGAAAAAACAGCTTAAGGTTTACAGCAAATCACCATACCACCCATCTCCAGGTGAACACTGCAAAGCAATTTGAACAATAGGCAGATAAGCTGCTTCCACTTTTAAAACAAAGTACAGAATATTGGGCATTGCAGCTCAGAACACTCAAGTATTCTGGTGCAGCCACTAGCAATAATTGCCCTTACTTTCTGGATAAACTCTTTAAAAAGTAAGAATAAAAATGTGAAGTCCATCCCCCGTCCCAAGATGCACACAGCTGTTACTTATCCACTAAACATGTGCATCAGCAGAAGGAAACAGGCCAAGAAACCTTATATCCTGGTTTAACCTATTTATAATTGAGTCAAAATTGTTGGGTACAAAGAGACTGTAGCAAGTCACAGTTTCTATTCTCCACCTTCCTTCTGAAGGAATGGAGCTTACTTTTTTACTGGCTTAGCCACACAAAGCAGGAGCTGATCTTACTTCCATCTCCCAAGAGATCTGTGATTCTGCAGCCTCCTACTGTGCAATTTAAGGTATCAATTTTACTCGTAATAGAAGTATGCAGCATGAAATACGATGGCTTGTTCTGACCTCCAAAAAGGGGGGGTCTTATGGGTACTGCTTCGATAATCATCTTTGCAATAACAATATTAATCACATTTTAATTAATTACTGGGTAGAAAACATTTTATTCTAAATAAAACAACATATGTACTGAATTACTACCTGCTAGTGGAAACTAAGTAGAAAGCTCTTCAGAGCTCAGCTCTGAACAGAAATTTAATAAAATATTGCATTCTCTAAACAAAAAACTCTTGTAAATCCATAGGTAAAATTATAAATTACATGATTCACATGCAAAATCAATCTCAATCTGGGAATGATATTTTAATTAAACTACTGAACCAGCTGTGGATTTGGTAAAGCTTCAGTAGTTCAGCTTTTAAAGGGCCTAATTAACTAGCTTGCATAGGGGAACAGAATCTAATGAATCTTCATATTCATTCCAAACAAACAATGCAGTTTCACTTTACACAAGACATATTAAAAGTATTCTACTGTTTATTTTGGCTTGCTATAAATCTCATGAAACAGGGGTCGAAATTTCTGTCAAGAGTCAGGCTTCACAGTCTTCCAGGCGTTAACGATACATGAGGCCATCCAAAACCTCCATCGTACCAACACAAGAGACTACCAGTAACAGAGCCTGGGGTACAGAAGACTGGAGCACTCATGTCCCTTGTTCCCCACTGGATATGACCCTGTTTGGCTCTGCAGGACCCACACCCAAAGGAGTGGTTTTGCTGCCATCCTTGACCTTCTTCTACCACCTGATGAGCCCAGGACACCAGCATAATACAGATCCCCCTGGGGACCCACACAGCCTTGCAGACCCAGCAGCTGGAACAACAAAGTTCTGCTCCAGTCCAATTTCCCAGAGGAAAAGCGGTTATCAGCAGGTTACCTGCACCTATAAATGGTTAAATCATCCTCTGGTTTCAAAACCAAGACAAGATCTTCCAACTTTCCCAATCATACATTTTCAGTATTTGTAGTCTTATGTTCACACTAATATTTTGTGGAAACATCCCTAGCTTAGATAAAACAAGAAAAATTCCAGCTATCAGGTCTTTCATTCATAAAGCCAGATTCAGTTCAAACACTTCAGTTTTCACATCATCTATGACCTTGATTGTATCCATGTTTTTATACATGGTCACGTTCCTTTAATTCATGACTAAAGAAATCATGGTAAAATATGATACTGCATTATGGAACTTATCCAATTATATCCATTTACATCAAGTCACTTGGTTGTTCTGAAGTCCCTGTTACAGATCCAGATACTACATTTGAAAGGATAACGGTGTATATATTTAAGAATGTCACATGAAAAATATTTTCATCTTTAATTTAATAATTATGAAAATTGACATTACAATGCGCTGCCAAGCCAGTGTAATCAAAAAAGATTTTGGGGAGTTGCATAACATTGTCGTATTGATAATCTTAGAGTTCGAAAACATTCTGAAACAAGGAATTTATGAATCCCTGTGAAGCATAAAAGATTGTTCTGCAGTATAATTTGGTTAAAGAGAAGTGGAAACCATTGAGAGAATTTTCAGTTTAAACCAACCTTATACAGTATTCCAGAACAAAGGGAGAAACGCCTTTACTACTTAAGGCCATGTAAAAGCATCTGAGCTAGAAACATTGGTTTCACTTGGTTATCACAAATCAAGAGCAACTCTAAGTCTCATAAAAAACACACAAGACAAATTATTGTACCGTTTTCCTAGCTCATCGTCTACCAAAAAATTAAATCATCTTATTTCCAGTCAGCATTGGCTCAGAGAAAGATGTCACATGCTAAAAACTATGTCCATATCCGATAGCACGTCCCTGTCATTTAATTCTCTTTATTAAGTATTGATTTTGCGGAGTCAACTAAGAAATTAAGCTCAGTTTCCAAGAGAGCAACATTAGACTGAGGAGTTACTGATCTCTTTCTCTCTAAGGCCTGCCAAAAGAACAGGAGATGACTTAAGAGTACACACACATTTAAATGAGCGCTTTCATAACAGCGGCAATGCTGTAATTGGCTGTTAAACATTAATTCTGGCAAACTGGGGGGAAAAACAAGGTTGATCTGAAACCAGAGGAAAAGTTAATAATATTTTATTTTGAGCTTTCATTTATGTTAAAATTAAACAGAGTTCACTGCAGATTTATTGACTCTCATGAGCTCATAGCTCATTTCTTTGTTGACAAAGACATCTTTTCTTATGGGCTTCCTCAACAAATGGACTCAACTCTGGTGGTCTTTGTCAGTATACCTTGCTTCTGAACTCTGACTGATGGAGAATAAAGAAAGCAATCCAGGGAGCACTCCTTAGGCTAAAAGTTACATCCAGTGCTGAACAAGTTACAGCCTGGACAGATGAGCAGTATTTTTTATCAGACACCAACACATCAGAAAAAGAGGGATACTATAATCAGATCCAAGAGGCGTCCTTAGGAGTCCTTATGTAAATCAAAACATTGATTATGATTCATGCTAGGAAGGTTTAATAAAACATGATCAGATCCTACTTTTGGTATTGACAATCTGCACTTGGCAACCAGTTTTGTCTAATGGAAATCAAAAACAACTGTCATGAAAACAAAGAAAATTGAAAGAAAAATAGATTCTCAATGAGTAAGAGATGATTAGATCGAAGACTAATGAAACTGATAGCCTGATGATTGTTTATTTGATAATGTAATGCCCTAAAGCTGTTCAGAAAAAAAAAGTACTCTCCAAATGTTTGAAAATAATAAAAACGTAAATTTCTTTGCTTATGAATTTTTAGGCATAGGCTAGAAAGACCAGTCCAGAAAGATCAACTGATGTATATGACTGAAAACTAAAATGCGTAGGTTCTTTTGCAAAGTAGTATTGAATATCCATGGTTCTGAAATTTTCAGTGCTACAAATCCTTGTAAACCTGGCATTTCAGAAACCACCACGTACCTATTCCAAACCTTAAAGTGAAAACAGCATAGAAAAGCAGCATGCATTTTTATTGTTTAAGATCGTATTGCTCATATACTAAAGATCAAAGCTAATGAACTAGTTCTATCAACAGTTTAATCAACTTTAGCTGAGAATCAGAACAACAGTTAATACACTACAGAAAGCCAAAAAGTGTACTTACCTGGAAAAAAAAAGAGTAAGGTCAAAAATCAAAATTTAAGGTACTTGATTCATTTGGACATTAATGTATTACTACAATTTACCTTTTAATCTGGAGTCCCCTCCAAAGGCACCACATCCCCAGTTTCCTGTGGCTATTGCAGAGAGATGTTGCGGCGGAACATTGGGTCGAGAGAAGCCACAGTAGGCCTGCAGGCAGACAAGAGTCAGAAGATGAAGTTGACAGGCAATCTGGTATGCTATTTTCAGACAACTAGATGATAACATTAATCAGTACTGTCTTGTAGCAATAAACACATCAAAATAAACTCAATATATCACTAGTCTTTCTTTAAACTGAAAGTCAATCATGGTATCAATAAAGAATTTAAGGCGAGAATTTTGCCTTACTTGGATCCAAGACAACAATTAGATGCAGGTGCAGATTCTAAAGGATTCCAAAGCTACAGGAAAGTTTTCAGGATAGCTGGAGCAGAGAATATAACCTCAGGAGTAGATGATATTACATCTGTTTCTCGTTGGCACACTTGAACATGACAGCTAAACTGCCGCAGCCAGTATTGCTAAAACTCCTTAACACAAACTAAGATACCAAATGACATCTTAGAATACAGGTCTAAAACAATAAGCAAGGACAGGAGAAAAAACAAATACTAACTAAAATCTTGAGGAAAGGCAGGTGCTTCCATATACAGAAAAAAGTGTTTAAATCCCTCTAGGAAGTTTTTCAATGATACAAAAAATTATTTAACACTGGTACAGATCGCAGTACATGTTTTCACTCTTACCTGATCTAAGCAGTAAATTCACACTTCTGCTACTTATATTTTAGCAGTGTGCCATGATTCAGAACTTGCATAAGAGCACTTTGACACCATCAGGTGCCTCCAGCTTCTTAAACTCTCAAGTCAGAACTACCAGCACCCTCAGTGTCCCAAGCATGCTTATAATAACTAACTAAATGCATACATAAAGCGGGCCAAGCAAAAGCATACTCTGGCTGTCTGGAAAATGATCCATCTCCATCCTCCCAGTGAGAGAAATGGAGTGGTGTCACAATAGGATGACATTTTCTTCTCACATTCTACTTAATGGGCATGTATTCATCAGCTAGCCAGGAAAGAAAACAGAATAAAAACAGTCTTGTCAGACACAGTAAGGAAGTCAGCAAATGCTTGGAAGGACACCCGCACCAAAAGGACTATCTAAGTGAGTGTTCACTCCCCTATGATTTTTTACAGCAAGTAAAGGATAAAGCTAGAACTGATCACTTCCCAGAAAAGAAACAATGCACTGATATTTTAAATAGCTTTCACCTCTGAATACAAAAACATGAAAGCCACCTAGGTACTTTTAAAGCAACTGCTTCTGTATGGGAAAAAGAAGAGCTGTTCCATTTGAACTACATGAATGAAGCTGCTTTAAGTTATAAGCAACCCTCTATAAATTGCATCTCACCTTATTTAGAAGTTGTGTGATGTTAATAATTAGTTTTTTTTTTTTTTTCATTTAAAATGGTTCAATACAGTTCTCACAGCTAAGCCTGTTTGAAACATAACTGTTCTGTGTACCATAATTTTTAGGGAAGCATTTCTTGCCAAGTATGAAGCTGTAGCTATTTTAATTATTTTTAATCAGCGGTCATCAAAATAGGCTTCATGACATTTATGACCGGGATTGCAAGCCCAACTGTAAGTCAGTTGTTCCTTAGCATTTGGGAAGTGGTGACAGAGTTATTGATAGGACAGACTTCATGAGGCAATAATCTCAAGGGGCTAGCAAAGCTAACAAAGATCACATCTCTTACAAAAATATCTGCAAATCTTAATGTTGAAATCTAATGCCATTTTTTTCCTCATTCTGAAAAGGTGACTTCAGACACTATTAATCTTGTTTTCAGTTAAACTAGAAGCAAGGGTCAGCCCCAGACAGGCAGCTTGCAAGGAAACTGATCGTTAACATCTGGTTCCATAAAGCAAATAGATCTTATAAAGGAAAAATCATACAGGCTTATAAGAAAATGTGAACTGTAAGAAGGACCCCTCCATTCTAGTTGTTTCAATCATCTCCTATTGTTCCAAAATTACAGTTGGACAAAAGAGCCTCTGGAAACAAAGGGAGGATGAGTTACATCTACCAATCCATAATACACTCATATTTTACAGCCTCTGTGCATATACTGTTCTTACGGAGTCCTAATTTATTGGAAAACAGTAGATATAAAGATGCAGCTTATTCTGTCAACTTGCTTACACCCATGAACAAATCTTAAAACAGACTTAAAAGCCGCCACAGTACATTTGAAGGTGTTTGATTTGTTAGAACATTAGTCTCCAATAAACTTAATTCTGTTTACTACTATAAAATGTCATTTACTCACATTAAGATTTTCTTTAAATACCAACCAGTCTTCATCAAACACCACCATCCAAACTGACACACTGTATAAAAGTTCCATGGATCTACCATGATTTATTTTAAAACAATCCAAATCCAATTAATAATGCTGAAAATTTTAGGCAGATCATAAATCCACTATCATAGGTAATTTGAATTTTGTACCAAGATATCACTGAAGTTTACAAGATTTACTGTCTTTTTCAGGGCTAATTTAATTGCCAACCACAAAGAAATGAGCTGATGAATGTTACTTTAGTCACAGGGCTAAGGTTTTAAAACTACCTTAGATTAAGTCCTTCAGTCCTGTACATCATTTCTGGGAGGAAAAAAATTGATTAGCATTCCTCTTCTCTTTTTAGCTGAAAATAAGGAATCTAATCTACGTTTAAGTTTCAGATGCACCCTAGAATATTTTATATACCCTCCTACACCACAGAAAGTAGGAGACCTAACAGTTGTAGGCTCATGGCCTTATATTTAACTATCTAGGTAAAGCATAGGCCTGCTGCATCTATTAACACACAAGCACGCCACACAGACTGTCGGCCTGTTTTTAACCCAAACATAAGCACACTAACACAGTGTAACTGTATAAGCATCCTTGTACTCAACTGCCCAGAAAAATCACATTGCCATTGCTACAACAGGCTGCAGACACTGCACTACCTATGCCTTATGCTAACCATACAAGGCCCTCCATCTGGCCCTCTTATCAACTTATTATGAGAATTTGCTGTGTGCAGACTGATAACAGGTGTCTCTTGTTAGGACACAATTTAAGAATGAGATAACAGCAAAGGCCTTGAAAACATTAATATGGGCTGAAAACTAGAGCCCCTGGTTTAAAAACAGCTCACTGATGGCAACTACCATTAGTCATTGCAAAAACACAACCTCAAGAGGTGGGAATCAGCTTCAAGAATTTGAAGAACTTCTGCTTCAAGAAAAGCAGCAGCAGCAAAGCAAGAAAGGGAAAAAAAAAAAAAAAAAAAAAAAAAAAAAAACAGAACAAAACCAAACCCCAAACAACTCACATAGTATGTAAATACTCCAAGAGTTTACATGAAAGGTAGAAGAGAGGGAAGTGGCACCATATTTATGTATTGTCACCATGTTAACACATGAGGTGCCCCCTTCTCCACCTTGACTGAAAGGCTGATTGGGAGTCAGCAGAGCCAATCATGGAGAGAACTTACCAGTTTAGAAGCAGGACAGGGAAGAATTTGCAAAACATATAGCTTTTGTTTATAGTTCTGAAAATGAAGTAAAATGCCCCTTTGAACCCATTGAATCCATGCCACATAAATCATTCTATTTGACAAGCTTCTGCTTTAACAACATACAGCAAAACCCTGCAATACAGCTATTGTAAAAGACAACTGAGCAAAAACTTTCTTATTTGAAGATGATAATACAAAAATATTTGGAAAGTTATGGCAAACAATGAAACAGCCTTAGACTGCAGGCTGTTGTAAAAAGTTCCTTGCCTTGTTGAGCTCTCTTCTGATTTTCTCTGGACCAAACTGATCAAGGAAACGTCTGAAGTGGAATGCATCTATAGCTACAATTTCCGTGTAGCGTCGCTGCCATTCATCCCTAAATTTGGAGGAAGAAAAGATGACAGTAAAATTAGTATTTATTGTTATTATTATTGGCTACGTAATCGTGATCTAAAATAAGCAATTCCCTGCAGAGCTTCTCCATTCGTAGAAGCTAGAAAGGTACTCTTGGAACAATGGGGCACTGAATATAGCATCAGAAGAGAGACAGGTTTCTATGTAAATTTACAAATACTCTGTCCTAGACTTTGATTGTAAAAGTAGAAACATGGCACAAATCTAAACAATACTGTTTATTAAGTACAGAGGAACGCCATATGGTCAAAAAAAGAGTATGTTGGTTCTTTACCTACCTCTAAAATTTATAGAATCACTTAATAGTTTGGTTTGGAAGAGACCCTTAAAGATCATCCAGTCCCAACTCCCTGCCACCACCATGGGTCCACTAGGCAAGTTGCTTAGAAGTCCCATACAACCTGACCTTAAACACTTGATATTGAAGAGTACTTTATTATTATTATTATTATTTTTATCATTTCCATACAAAATTGATAATTTTGTGTATTCACTATGAATTTAATTCCCTGACAATGCTGTCAAGAGCTAAGAGCTTTCTACTTAGACTCACAATATTAAATCTTATTTTGCCATACTAATAGTAGTATGATGTATACAATGATACCATGACACTCGGAATACCACTGTCAAACTTCTTATGACAAATTAAAATCCACAGTTCAGTCAGTATCTTCAGAAAGTTTTGGATTCAATACATATAACATAAAAGCTGTTGATTTAAGGACTGACAAGTTGGCAGGTACCATCATTAGTATCAGTAAAGCAAGGAAGACGATAGATTAGGAGATAAATTTCTCATCTTGTTGGGTCTACTGAAGAGAACAGGATCAAGCAATACATTTTTCTGTTAAGACAAATACTCAAGGCACCAAGTTTTCAAGTTTAAGACGTATGTTTATTCCTTCACTTGAAATATATATGTGGAACTTTACCTTGGGGTCTTATCTTCATGGCTTCTTGCCCACCGGTAAGTTTCTGCATAGCCTGTATATTCACTGTACTGCTCAGTACCTGAAACAAATGATTTACCATATTACATACAAAATATTTAGATATTTCTTTCTCTTGGAAAATCTTTCATAGGAATCACTGCCTCTCTGAATGAAAATGCACCTCTCAGAAGCATCAACAGAAGCTAGAGATTCATCGCTGTATACAATTCTTGAAACCAGTATGGGCTTTTTTGTCACCCTATGTAATGTTTATTCTGTGGCAGACATTGCAAACATAGATCTTGTATGTGTGCTGTCCTGTATGCGTGCTGTCCAGTATATAACTAGAAGGTAGTTTTTGATTTTTCCACCCCCATATCAAATAGGCTCTCAATAAATTGCCTGTCTTCTTTAAAGTCATCCTGGTTAATATGTGGTTAACAAAGACTGCCCGTCTCCCCTCCAGCCCGGGGACCAAAATGAAAGCAAGGTTTCCTTTAAAATGCATTGAGGAGCAAAACTCGAGAGAAGTGTCTGGTCAGCATTACTGGAATACAGTGTCAGGCTAACAAAGGAAGGCTATCATTTTTGAACAATATAGAAAACCAGAAGTTTATAGGTGTGGCTGGTTTTTGCTTTGTTTTGTTTAAAACAGAGCAGCAAGGATATTTCTCAGTTTTGATGACCTGGTAACCTCTAAAAACTAGATAATTTCATAGTTTTTGGTAGACTGGCATATGTTTATTAACCATCAGGACTCTCTTAAAGACAGCAGCTCAGTTCCAGTGCTTTGAAATTGGAATAGGAACCAAGCAGGGAAGAAGAAAGAAATTCTAAATGAAACAAAGAAAAACCATGCCATTTACATGCAGTCTATACTCACTACATGATACAAGTTATTAATTAGCACAACTCAGATCTAAGGACATTTTTGAGGTAAACACGAGTTGCTCCACTACCTAAAACGTGGCAATACTACCTCATCACAATTTAGCCAAAAGCTGAGCTGACAGTTTAAGAAACATGAGATGAAGGATATAAAGGAGTTTTAAGTGTATGTGGCAGGCTGCATGTTTCCACTGAATTATTTTATTTCTCTAACGCAAAATTAGTGTCTACAAATCCACAGAGAAGCCTGATGGTAGGAACAGTTGGACTTGATGATCCTTAAGGGTCCCTTCCAACTCAGGATATTCTATGATTCTATGAACAAAGATTTCCAACACACTACTGTTACTCCAGTTGCTGCCCTACAACCTCTTGAGGGCAACCCTATATAAGGCTAGGTAGGACTGTTAAGCTTCCAAGTCTCACTGCCCAGTAATCCCTCCTTTCCTCTTGTTATTTTGTTTTGTGTTTGCTCAGTATGATTCCGGCACAATGGCTGCTGACGTGAATTCTTAAATATTACTGCAATTAATGGCACTGAACATACTGAAAGGCCGCTGTTCCCAGCTGTGGTGGCCAGTACCAGGAGGCTACTTCTGCAAAAGCCTGAGGACCCAGAAAATCATGTCCTGTACATACTTGGCTGCCCTGTGAAGAAGCCCAGCAGGGTATCTTGCAAGCATTAAAGGCTGTAGGAAAGTAGCACATTAAGTAGCTCGAGCCATTTTAGCTCTTTTGCTCTACTACACAAACTACTTTTCAAAGCTTTACCCTGAGAACAAGGAGAGCATTTTAACAGGGGGTAAAGATCATAACCCTAACAGGCCACTCCATCTTACCTAACCTCAGGTTCCAGCTTCAAAACTCGAAGATGCAAAAATGCAAAGAAACACTCCTGAAGTATTTTGCCACAGCAAAATCAGTCTTCCCCATTTTGGGCTTGTAACAGCTGAACTATTTTCAGTTGAATTTCAAAAGGTGAGTGATTGAAGAGAACACCTTGTTTGGAAAATTTCTGCTCATACCGGTATAGTTTGGCACGTTATAAACAGTGCAAGAAAAAGATGACAACTGCTAAGCAACCCCTTAAACACAAACAGCAACATCAGTTATGCCAGTAAATATAACAGAAAAATAGAGTTTAGAAAGATCTGTAAGCATTCAAAATCACTGACAGCACAAAATGAGTGATAACTAAGGAAAGAGTCATGCCTAACTATCGCACAGGTTGGTGATATTCTGAGAAGACAAGTTTTTCAATCTCTAAATAGGAAATTAAAAACGTTGAAAATCAGAAACATAAAACTGCTCACTTTTAATCTTATCTGACAAGGAAACCTGGATGCTTGTTTTCAGTAGCCTTAACTATATGAAACACCAGCTGTTAAAAATGTTTAAATTGATGCTTATATTTCAAGACATTTTCCCCACTTACACAAATCCATTTTTACTAAGATGACTTATCAGTGCTTCTTTAACTCATCTGCCTTATTATCCACTCGTTATTTATTTAGATATGTCTAGACGATTAACCACACTGAGGACAAAAGCTCCACTCAAGGCTATTTTTGAAATTTGCTAATCAAAGTGATTGTGATGGTAAAAGATTGCTCACCAAGAACCCACTTTCTGTTGCAAAATCAAAGTAAAAAAAAAACAACAACATGTGATGGCAGAACATTTCTATACCGTCATATTCATCTATGATCACACACGACAACTGTGATTAGCTTAGATATTCAGAGGTCAGCCTTCAAACTGAGTTGTAGGCTATCAATTGTCAGTTAAGACCTCCTGACTTAGCTAAAATTCAGATTTACTGATATACTTGGGAAAAGTGTCTGAGCTAACAGTAAGAAAAGGCAAACAAGAGAAGCGTTTAACTTCCCTGACAGCCCTTACTAGAGGACAACCAACAAAACTTCAGTTTTGTGAAGAAAGCATTTCCTTTGTGGAAATGGAAAGCACATGGAAAGCATATGAGGGGAAAAGACTGGATTAGCAAGATATTGTAACAAGATAAATTACAACGTATTAAGATTATTTTTTCAAAAGCTGTTTTCATTAATTTTTATGAAAGTGCAGTGCATAATGACAAAAGCACCAAGAAGCAAACAAGCAAGCAAGCGCATATATAAAAAGAAGAAAAACTCAAAACACACAAACACTAAATTCATGTCCCAGCAACCCAAGGATAATGAAAATCAACGGGTTTTCATGAGCAAAGCTCTGGAAATATGTCAGACAAAAACAATTATTCAACTGGCAACACTTTGGCCTGTGAAACACTTGGATATGAACTGCTACTGCTGGGAGATTGGAAGCAATACAGGATAAATTGGATATGTTTGTTTCCAGTGAATTTCCTTCCACATCCCATAAAAAAAAAAAAGAGCCAAACAAGGCAGTGTAACACAGCTTGACCTTTAAAAGCAAACTACAAAATACACAAAAGAATTTTGACTTACCCAAAGTCAAAACAAAGTATATACAAGGATGACTGAAAAAACACATCCATAGTGAAACTTTCTTCAGCAGAAGAATAATGACATCTCCAAGTACTAGCACTTATGGGACCTTGTCCATGAAATGGACAATGCCCCTCCCTCCTCAGATTCCACAGTCTCGCTCTTCATTTGCATACAATTCATGTGGCATTATCAAATTCCCTAGGATAGGGATGAAAGAAGTACCACACTGTTCCCTCTAGTTTTTCTTCAGAGGGATTGTTAAGAAATAGTACCACTAGCACCTCATAAAAATTAGTACATGGAAAAACCAAGTAGTTACTGCCATAAATGCACATTTACTGCCAAAGATGAGGGAAGGTCTTTCAACCAGTTCTGACTTATTACATATGCATCAGCATTAGTCTTCTGGCTCTCCTGGCCCTCCAGACAATGGCATGATCAGCCAATCCAGCTGAAAAAACACATTATCACAAGTAAATTCTCAGCTGCACAAATTACCTGATCAAGTTTATTGCATGAGCAACGCGCTTAGAAGTCTCTGAACATGCACCACTGAGGCACAGATAGGACTGGCCATTGTTCAATCTGCAGTTTTAAAGCAAACATGGAACACAGCTTCACTGGCTCTTAACAGTGTCTGAATATACGCAAACTCGAAGGAAAAACAAAAACAAAAAACGCACCCTCCAATAAAACACCATAATAAAGAAAAAATCCTGAATGAAAACCCGTGACTCGCTTTCATAGCTCTACCAGAAATGCAATTGTAGGAATCTCTGGCATTGCTGCTGACATTTCAGTAGGTAGATGTCTGTGTTGAAGAACTTGACTGTGCATGACCACTTCCATATTCAGCACAGCGGTGATCTTAACCAGATACCATGCAATCACAATGAATTCAATTTCTCTCCCATTTCTCAGACTCTACTGCAAATTTAAGCTACACAGTTCTACCCATTAGGCCACTGAGTCAAGATGCATCACAAAATGTAATTCATCAGGAGGATCGTGACATGCAGTGGAGACTTGGCTATTAACTGAGATGGAAGAAGTCCAGGGATTAAATGAAAATGATGGAATGGCCATTTCCATTAGAGAAGAATGGAAGCAGCTCTTTCAAAACATTCATATTTGGAATCTGTTAGTACACAGACAGATAGCTGCACTCTGTTTTTATGCTCCCCAAAAAAGGCTCACTCAGAGGACAATACTTGAATAAATTACTTCTGTTACAGCATCATATCCAAAACAGAAGACAGCAATCAGAACTGGCCAAGAATTTTAGCATTTATTTTTAAAAATAATCACAAAAGCAAGTTTACCTAAAAGTTTTCACAGAAAAGGCAAGGGTTTTGGTAGGGTGGAAAAACAATCCAAAACACTGGGTGAAAGATTACCAAGGTTAAGACTGAAAACAAAAGAGGTGCTGGCCACTACAACCAATAGCTTCAGGGCACGGTAAGATTTGGAAGATATAAGCTCAAATTTCTACCGTGCATGCATGTAAGAAAGAATGAGTGCTTTGGAAGGACTTTTTCCAAGAAAACTGTTCCAATGCCTCCACAAATTCCAGTCTGTTTTCAGGTAATGAAAAACAATCTTTTCTTTTTTTTTAAACATTCTAGTAGGTTGAAAAATAACATACATAACATACATAAATACAAATAACATACATAATCTATTACTCCAAGCAAATAGTGTATCTCTTGATAAAGTATTTTTTATTTACCCTAAAGAATAGCTATAAAGAAAAAAAATCTATCAACATTTTATTATTTTGCCAGTCACACAGTGTCTAGCTGCTGTGTTACCATGTATACATCCAGGACGCAGCACTACCTGGGACTGGCCCATTCTTACCAGTGACATTAGCTGTTTTCTCACCTAATTATTTTGATCCAATGTGTAATAAAACATCACAAATTTTAAAACAGATGGTGAACAAAAGGAACAATATTTTCAGTGAAGCACTGGACAGACAGTGCATACAGACTCACAACAATAAACTGGAGAAGCACTTAGCTTTTGATGTTGCAAGTTATGAACACAACTGGTAACAAGTAATACGAACACGTGTTTGTAACCTACAAAATCAACATCCTCAAGAAACATTTCCTGACTTTCTATCATTTTTAACAGATGCTCATTTTTTCTTCTACCGCTTCCTTCCCTGTTTGGTACCCAGAAGACAGTTCCTCTTCTCAGATTGAGCTTTCAGTCCCATGGATTACAATGAATGTTACAAATTCCAGACAGGAACAAAACCCACCCTGCTTTGGCACATCAGAAGCATTACCTGCTAATAGCTAGGAATTGTCTTTTACCTATGTTGCCCAACAGTATTCCTTATCTAGGCCTTATCTAGGTCTAAAGATGCTGAGTCCTTAAACAAATTTATGTAAGGTAAAAAGAGTTCTGTAACTCCTCATCTGCTCATATTGTTTCCTTCCTTCAAAAAAGATGTACTGGAACAGTGGCCCTACAGTCTTAAGAAGTGGGGTGAACAAGGAAGCTTATTGTTAAGTAAGTACAATCTTTTTATTTTCCTACAACATTTAAGCATACTAAACAAGTTGAAATATATTTTTCTACATAGAAAACCAGAACAAGATGTGAAACATATACTGCAACAACTAACCTGTGATGATGAGACATTCATTGTGATCCAAGACTTCAGTGATGAGCCTCGATACAATCAGTTCTGGGTTGATTAAAAAACGAATTTCTTCTTGTACCAGTCCTGCCCCAGTGACACCACCTCCAACAAAACGGTTTGCAAAATCAACCTAACAAAAATATATTCAGGAGGATTAAGAGATAAGCAAACAGCAAAAAAATCCTTTCATTTACTGAGTTAAATAAAGTCCTGTACAAATTTCAACTCTGTTGAGATCCACTGCTATCATTTAAAAATATAAACAGCAGGACAGAACCCGATTCACAGCATGCCCATCTCATTCTTCCCTTTCTTTTGATTCAGAAAAATCAAAATGAGACAAGAGAGATATTATACAGCAAAATAAAGTTCTACATATCAAAGGCTCTGAATCCCATTTTTAGTTTTGAAAGGGCATGCATGTAATTATAAAAAGTTTCAGTAAATGTGAAAAATGGAAACAGCAGATTACAGTATCCTTCCTGCATTTTACAGACACAGAAGAATTATTAAGTTGTCCTTTAATAAGCTTTCTGCCTTGGCTGTCCACACAGAAGCATTTTTAGCTCAGCACTGCCCTGTACCAGTTGTTCTGTACTTAGAGGAATCTCTTATGGATTGTCCTTGGAACAAGGCACGCCATCATTTTGATCACCAAGGTTTCTGCCTGATACAGGGAAGCTATGGACTCTAGTTTTTGCTACAATGATACATATTTTATACATTTTTTATATAGACAACAGTTTTAAAATCAATTGCTTTATTCAATAAATTACTATTTATGTAAGTTACCAACCCTTAAGAAGTTTGCACCACTTTTTCCTGTCTCAAGAAGTACTAATTTTTTTCTAATTAATTAATTTATGGTAACAGAACTCTAGAAGACAGACTGCTTTCCTTCTTTCTTTAAGGTTATTTGAAAACTCAAGTGTATTCCTTGCTATCGATATGGACAGGACATCTTCCTTTATCAATTTATTTCAACTGACTGGCTCTCAGACCAGAACAGTGGTGCTGTAGCAGCAAAAAGTCTCCTGAACTCCTGACCTGGTCACTGTCTGGGGCACAACCATCATAACAAAAAAGAAAAAAAAAAAAAGGCATAAGAACACCAAAACCCTTGGCAGCTCATCAAAATTCCAGTCTGAAACTTTTATCTTGTCAATCTTTGATCCCAGTTTGAACCAAAGGACCTGAAGCTGTCCAGGGCTTGTGATTTTCTGTCAGCTAGCTCTGTAACAGGTACATCTACCAGCCTCAGTGAGCTAGGGAATACTGATAGCACTAAGTCTGCCCAAGGAATTCATCTTGATGTTTCATTTACATGCATAACGCTTTGTCACGTAAGTCAATTGAGGATAAACAATTTTAAACTGACAGACTGTAAAAATATGACAAAAACATGAGATAAAGCCACTTTTACTGGTATATGCACTTACCTGTAGCATACCTTGTCCATTGCCTTCAATAGTGCCCTCATAGGTGACATGTAATCTAGACAGTTTTTTCTGAGATCTATCATTGAGGAAAAAAAACATTGCACAGAAAAGATGATTACAGGATCCCCAAAGAGACATCCATTTAAGAGAAAACCCGTCCAAAACCTAGCTTTTTATGCACCTAAGCGTAAGGTGGTTAAAAAAAATCCAAAGGATTGAGGAAAATGCATTTGCCTTTCAGAAACAATTTATTAAGGCTTAATAACACAGTCAATGGTTCAGTTTCTCCACCTCTTTCATTACAAAGCCCCAAATGTGAAGTTTCATTTCCACATTTTTCACACAAGTCTGTACCACATTAACTTGCTAACCAGGAAAAAAGCTGCAAGCACAGCATTTTAATTCATTATATTTTCTGTCATTTCTGGCATCAAGTCAGCTCTCACTTTCTCTCCTCTCAAGCAACAAACAAAAAGGTATTACTGTTTTAAAGAAAATCTCTTAAGACTCGTCTGCTCCACAGGCAAACAGATACAAGCTCCAGTCACACCAACTGTCGGTGTCCATTCACCCACTTCTTTCTGTTCTTCTCTCCATAGCAAGCCAAACCAAACATTATTTTCCGGATCACTTGCTGGCATGAATCAATTCAACTTTAATGGGATTCAGGTTAATCACTAAGCAAATTCTTATATTTAACAAGACATTTGACTTACCTTTCCCAGTCTGGAAACTCTTGGAGACTTTGCCTTGTAAACGTCACCAACCCAGTAGGTTCTACAAGCAAACAAACCCCAGGGGAAAAAAAAAAAGTATTAACTGCTAGGCTTTTAGATTATTTTAATTACAACAAGCATAATTCCTGACAGAAACAGAAGAAGTTAATTTTCCTCAAAAGCATGTATGGGTTTGAGGAGAACAAAAATAAATTTTCTTGCTCTAAAAACAAACAAAAAGCTTTCAATAAATGAATGCTTCTCTACAAGGGAATACTATTATCAGTGGCGCTATATATATTATTATTATATTTTTATTTATTTATATTTATTTATTTACAAATTAAGCATTCACCTGTTGACAAAATCTTCAGTTTACATAGCCCCTGCTGTATTCCTTTACAAGGAATTCAATTACCATTTGCAATAAAAAAGTTGTGAAACTATTACAGTCATTTATAGAGCTAAGTTACTTTTGTCTTACTAATTCCTTGCAAAACAAACAAACAAACCAAGAAATTGGGTCTTAAAAGTGTAATACAAACTTTTAATTCAAGAAAACAACATGCAAAAATGTCCTTAAGTAGTTTGAAGTTATAACATTAAAAAATGTAATACAGTTGTTTTGATAAAGCATGCTCCCAACAGATTTCTGATGCACAGGGGGCCAGAGACAGCTGCAAAAATTTTAAAACACTACTAAACTAGTAAGAAAAAGCCAGTACACTACAGCCCTTCTCACTTACACACATAGATCACAACTTACATTTTACCCCAGAGATTTATTTCTATTGACACTGCTGAAAGTTTGTTAGCTGAAACAGGAGGTAGCATTTAATTAGTTGTGAATGAAAATGATGAACTGAAGATGGACTGAACCAAGTACAAGGATTTCTATAATAGCTTGCAGCTGTTTTCCTATTTAGAACAAACTCTTCTGAGAGAATATGAAGCTAATAGTGAAATACTGACACAAAAAGAGAAAGTTCGATAAAAACACTGTAAGATATTGCTGCAGATGCAACATATGCAACTGCAGTAAAATCCCTTTCTCCTAAAAATGTAATATGTAAGATCTGATACAGTTCATACTCCGATAAATGTATTTTTGAGAGTTTATGCAGGCATTCAAATTAATGGCAACAACAGAATATTTGACCATGCACACTAAGGAAAGTATCATGCTAATTTCTAGAAGAGCTGAAGACATTCCACTTCTTGATAGCATTTACTTTATTTTAAACTGGGAAAAGTTCACAGCAGCTTTGTTTTGGATGAACAGAAGGAAAAAACCTGAAGTATCAACACAAGCAAGGAAAAACCACTTAGAATTAAAAATGTCATGGTCAGAGGACTAAATGGGCATCCTGCAGGAAATCTGAAAACTGATCCAGAATCTTTAAGCAAGAGATAGTACCTGTAATTTTAATGACTATATATGTTGTTAAGTTCCTTCTGCTTTCTCACTCTGGTATGGTCCACCAAGTATTTGCATATATTATACAAACACACAAAATATGTGTTTATGGATACAGAACTACACATTTGATATATAGCTTATATATAAATGTGTGTGTGAAAATATCTGTATGCAAATACAGATATTTTAGACATACATAAAAAACACTCTTCAGAAAAAAGGAACAAAGAATAAGCTCCATGCAAAAAATGAAATTGCATGTCTCATCTATATGGGATAAATTGACACTAAGAAGAATATCAGTGCACTCGGTGTGCTGCCTTTTGTTAGACATTTCCATCATAATGCCACATAGCCATTTCTAAATTGAATGGGATTAAATTCTTCATGTGTCTGCTTCATAGCTAAAAAAAAAAAAAAAAAAAAAAAAAAGAATTACAACAAGAATTACTTTTTTCTGTGACTCTTCTAAAATAGCAGAAAAGTGTCTTAAGTTTCTCAGGCTTCCTTGGTGACCGTCCTTCAAACAATCTGGAAAACAGACATAAAAGCAATTTGATTAGATTTCAGGGAAACACACCTCGCCTAATTACTATGCAGTATGTAAAAACAAAAAAGCAGTTTGCCCTCCTTAAAGTCAACCACTTCTAAGCCACAAAGGGGCTGTCCAAGCAGTTCTTTCCATAAAGTATTTACTCACAAGGCTGCTACACTATGCCTCCATTGCCTTGATCCTGAAAAGAAACTATGCCCTTCATACCACTCATTATTCAGATAACAGGCTTGAATTCTACACAAACACTGAGATGCATTTCCCACAGCTACTTGGAAAGTACGTTTACGTGCTTATATGTGTAGTACACTTTAAAGGCAGACAGTCAAAACCATACACCTTCATAAAAGCACATTCTTCAAAGTAGAGCTGTTTCTTAGGTTCATTCACTCGATACGTTTCTGATGAAATGATAATGAAATATCCATCTTTTATTGATTTTGTAATATCAAAAAATATAATTTCAATATGAATGTCCAAGAAAGCTATGAGTTTTATTTGCAGCAGACTGTCTTGAATTGAAATCAGTGACCCGGAGTGAAAACAAGCACATTGAGTATTCCTGGATCCAAATGCCTTACCCTACTTACAGCTCAGTGAGTTGCAGAGGAGAATATAATGCAACTATATTGCTTTGAAGAGCTGCATCATACCAGCAGCATTTCTAAAGAAATTAATCCTCCCCCTGCAGAAACGGTTTTATCCACTGAGCTACTACCGGCATTCTCAAACTCATCTGTAAAAAACTAAGCATTAAAAAGAAGCATCCAATTTTTAGCCATTAAGTGAATGTATGCTTTTAAGGTTAACTGAAATATTTTTACAGCGTCATCCATCTTCCAGCAACTTGAACAGGCATTACTTAATTTCACTTCCAATAAAGTGACAAGGCATTGTTATTGGCAAAACATAATGGAATTTATCTGGAAGGAAGAATAGTGGGGACTTCAGAAATAATATCCTTTGAACAGGAAGGTCACTAAAAGATGTCTGATACAGTGAAAGCCCTGAGGATGTAAGGTGCAACAGCCCCCATCCCCTCCAAACAAACAACACAACACAAAAGCCACAACAGTGAGGAAAGGAATGACACAACATTATTCATTTCTTTCCATGCACTGGAATGATAACCTGCCTTTAAAAGCAGAATACTGTCAGGTAAACTTAGCTTTTAGTGATAAAGCAAAATAGATTTTTTTTCCAGTATTTAAAAATTCTTATGGGATATGCATGCTGAAGACATAAATTTTATCCAAAATCTGTTTTAAGTTACAGAAGCTAATTTTAGGTTGTCACAGTCAAAGGACTAAATAGGCATACTGCATGAAATCTGAAACCTGACCCAGAATCTGTAAGCAAGATGTAGTACCTGTAATGTTAATACATTTAATAAAGGTTGGAAAGGCCTTATAAAAACCTCAGTCTTGGAGCAACAAATTAGGACTTTAAGAAGGCAAACTTTATATGTATATGTCCTACTTCAAAATGGACCCATCCCTAAGTTCTAGCATGGGGTTGTGCTTGCTCAACCAGTAAGGGGCTCCATAAAAGACAGTTAAGTCTTTATGCACTTAAGTCTTGCCTAAATCCCTATGTTATCTCTGACTTTTTATCTGGAAGTCTTATTTGGTATGAATCCTTTAAACTGGTTAGTTTATATATTAGCCTAATCATGCCTTCATCATTATTTTTTTTGCCTCAACTTCAACTTGAAATCTTGCTCATGTTGCACATTCCCAGGAGTGAGTTCTTCATGGCACAAAGGCAGTACATGATTTAGCATAACTAGCACACTGTGCTAAAAGTCCAGAGCTGAAAAAACTATGCTTGGAATAGGCAGATCAAGCTAAAAGGGAACAACAGCAAGGCAGATGAACTCGGTTTCATCCATTACAATTATTCACCAAAATGTAGTCACTGTGTCAGTAGGGAATTTTAACCAAATAGACATTTTTTTTTTAACCTGAAGTGGTCAGCAACAGACTGTATTTCCTCTTGTTAAATGCTGTGATAAATACCTCTTTTCTTTCTCTCCTGGGATTAAAGCTAGAGTAATGCTGATTGCTTCGGAAATCTCATTTACAGCAGATAAATTCCCAAAACACATTCTATAATTACAACAATAAGAGAGATCTGTACTTCTGTCCTGCCCTGTAGCACTGGGTAAAACTGTTAAAGATTATTAAAGTCACTGTGGCGACATGTAGACTCTTTCCTAACTAAGTCAGACACCTACTTCAATTTTTTGAAGAGAAATCTTCTACATGAGAAAGAAAACACCAACAATAGCAAGATCAGCTACTGGGAATATGAAAAAAAAAGTGCTCAATAAAAAAAATTAGCAACAACCATCAATAAACATGCAGTAAAGTTTTAAGGCAATAGTTTGCACTGTTTAAATATTTACTATTGCAAAAACAGGTGCTCTTATTTTATAGTAATGTTTTCCTGAAATCTTAGGGTAGAAGAAGTATTTTAGAAGTATAATCAATATTCTGCTTTCTGAAGCCTCACTGACTGCAAATTCAGAATTGTCTTATTTTCAACCAACATTTCCACCTTGGAAAGGCAGAAGCAAAAGAAAGGCAGAGCTCTGAGGAACCTGCTTGTAAGTGCCTCGAAGAGCACCTCACATGGGGCTGGTGCGCTGGAAACTGTAAACAGTTCTCTAACCAAAACCTAAGTTGTTTTTTTTGTAATGCTGAAAACACCATGTTGTCTTTTCAAGAAACACAGATGCAAAAGAGCGTCAAATACACAAATGGAAAAAATGCATTCTCACGTAGCATTTTATACATCTAAAGTATCTTGGCAAGTGGTCAATCTGAAAGGTACTTCTAAGGGTACATTTCCAATGAAGCAACATCAACATGATCTAATAACATGAAGAGCTACTCAGAAGTGTCCTTGGCATGCAAACAGTTTACTGGGGAAAAGCTGAAACTGTTTAGATAAATGGTTTCATAATGCACTGCTTCTGATTAAGGTGTAATTCAAAATATAGCAGCTTACTCGTAAATTTTGATTTCCAAGGAGCTAAACTGATCCCTTGGTATTACACCAAGAACTGACTCTCTAATTTCCCAAGCAGAAAGAACCATTACAACCTTGTGATTTAGGCTGCTAGTTAACACGGATTTCCTATCAGTATTTCCATTCCCAGCCTGCATCTTCCAACCCCAAGGCTGCAGGTTTTTTCAATGCTCCTTGGCCAAGAGTACACAGGTGTTTTTAACTGTTTCTAACTGTTTCTAGCTGTTTCTAATTGGAACCTATCCTAAGGCCCAGAGAACTGTCAACACTGTAACAACACACAAAAATGTGCAGTATGGATTATACTTCAAAGCATTGTACAAACTTCCATTCATAAATCCATGACATTTCATATGTGCTGCCTGCAAGAAGTATGAGTGCACAACTTTATAGTTATGGTCCCCACAGTTAACCACCTGAGCTTTTTCCTCAACTACCACAGGTACCTTCTTACAGAAAGAGTACTTTCTTACAGGAAGAAAAAAATTTTGTACCATTCATAAAAAACATTTTTAAAACAATGGTTATTTAAACTCTCTCATCTTTTTTAATTCCTATTTTTGTGTTTCATAAAATACAGACAATGCTACCACAGTAGTATATGTATTGGAAAAAATAAACATATATTATGTGCTCAAAAAACTTTTTCTCTTGGGGTGCATGATCAAAAAACTTTGGAGACCCCTTCCCTAGACAGTTTTAAAAACTTAAATGACAGTTGCACAATCTAAGATGAGGAAATCATCTTAAACAAATTAAAAATTGGAATTCTTACATACAACGTAAAATAGAAACCCTTACTAGAAAGTCCTGCTACTATTGAAAATAGTTTAAGTGAGAACTAAAATTAAAGCTTTTCAGAGTAGCAAAATTTCAATTCATGTATTTTGGACTTCATAGGAATCAAAAGCAGGATAATCTAGATAAGAAACCTGTCCAGAGACAAAAGGCAGACAAAATAACTCGCTCTGTGAGAGCACAAAAGGAGAAGTCACTATCTAGATCACACTTCCAGCACAACCTTAAGTGAGTCAAGTACAGCAACATCAGTTCTGTTTTTCTGGTGGCTAGTGTACGTCTTCCTCATTTAATAACTCAAATCCCAGCTTTCTGAATTAAAACAGCCTTCTATTTCTGTCTATACAGAAAGCAATTTAGAGGTTTTGAATTCCCTTGGCATCAAGTGGGATAAAAACAATATATTCAATGATTCAACCTCATAGGCAATTTCTTATTTACTGCTGTGTCATAGGTATAAACTGTCATCATCTCGAAGTTATTTAAGGCATCATACCATTCAACCGTTTTGTTTAATTAGGACTCCATCTTTGGATTAAACATCAATTTTTAAGATTTGTATAAGCATACAAAAATTAAGCAATGTGACTTTGTTAGTCATCTAGAGGCTAAAACCATCTTTCCTTCTCACATACAACCAGACTCCTGCTCTGTACTTTTCATTTTGTGCTTTCATTTATTTTGGAAAGCAACTTGGAGTATTTTAAGTTGCTCCTAAGAAAAAGCTTTAGTGAGTTAGGAGTCTAAGAAACAGCATGCTGATATATGACTGATGGAATGATAAAAACGCTAACCCCAAGTACTCAACACCAAGAAACAGCAGGGTAAAACATTTCAAAGCGAACATCTAACCCAAAAAGCTTTACCACAGCATGGTAAAACTGAGTTCTGAAGTCAATGACTGTATTTACTGAGGTATCAAAGAAGTACTCAGAGTACTGCTGCAATCACCAGAGCAAAGTAATTACTAGACTTGTTAGGAATGGCGTCCTTCTAAGCCATCTATTTAAAGATCATTTCATCATCCACCACACACGCTGATTTTAACTTTTCCCAGGACATGATGCTCCACTGAAATCTATGCTAATTAGTACATAGACCTAAGGTAGGTGTAACAGGACCAGTGCCTATAGACAAAGAAAACCTAGAATCACTTTTCAGAGGAGCAATACGTCTCTCTGTCCAAATCAAGTTCTCTCAAAGTCACTAGATAATTTATTCCCCAGAGAACCCTCATTAGTGTTGCAAAATGGATGTTGTTTATGAAGAGACAATTGCATTACTAGAAAATTAGATTTCAATTCTCCTGTATAAACGTACCATAGTTTGCCCATTTCCTTTCATATATTATACAATCCATAAAAGACATATATATCTTAACTACTGTTGTTGTTTTTTTTTTTTTCTCCCCTCATTTCTAATCACTTGAAATTACTTTAAAAGCTTGTTTGATAAAGATGAAGAAATTCAGTCCTAGTAGAATGCCGGTGGTTTCAGACCAGAGCATCTCACTAAGGTATGTGCTAAAAGATCCACCAGGTTTCTGTTACTAGACATGCTATTTTTAATTGTATTACAGCCTCGCTTGCTTTGACAGGAACTATTACAGATGCCTCATATCTCCAGTTTAATTACAGTAGTTTTTTGAAAAAAAGAAAATAAACAAGTTATTGCAACTTGACACTACAGCTAAGAATGGTTCTTCAACAAACCAGTTTCCATTTCAGTCATCTAGAAAACAGATTTGAGATTGCAGGGTTTTTTCTTTATACTTTTCTTTTACACATAATCAGACTTGATAGTTTTCCAAAATTACCAAATACATGCTATAACCTTAAGAAACACACAGGGAAGAAAAAACTCCCCTGAGCAAAGTCTTGTATGACACTGGACTGTATCGGGTTTCAGTATCTTCTCAAAGGTAAATACAAGAAAGCATTGTTCTTTCTTAACTTTGATGTATTTCATGAAGGAAAATGCTTTATGAAAATTCTACACTAAAATACGAAGTATCCACAAAGAAGATTCATTATGAGTGTTGCCAGAAGAAAGTGCTTTAAAATGTGAGCATCATCATAATCTGAGACACGATCTCCGAAGAGTCAATACAACTCATTCTTTACATTCAAACAGCATGCAACTTCTACGGGAAATTTATCAGTATGAGGGAGAAAATGAAAAATATAATTATTCTTTTTGTGACTGAATATTCTTGCATAAAACTGCCCAATCAATTTCCACTTTGTATATTATAAAAGCATTTTTTTTTCAAATTGAACTTTTAAATTTTGGTTTGAATGAAAGCAATGCTTTCTGCTGTTTTGTATGATTTAATTATTTGGCCACTGAACAGATGTCATTCCATCTACTAAAATTCATAACCATTCAAGCTCTCAAAGTTAAACTATGAATGCCATGATATTAACTACAATTTTAATGAATTATGTCATTAATGACTTAAGAACTGTAAGAGGCCGATCCTTGCCAAGTTCTAAAGGGAATAATTTAATTAAATTTCAGAGAATTTCATTATACAAGCAACTTTGTAGCATGACGAACAATCAAACTAGACACTCAGTGTCACAACATACCATTAACCCAAGTGCTTCAGTGTCAAATGAGGAAGGCTCGCTCTCCCCTCCCTTCATCCAGAAACACAGACAGGAGAGGAGGGGCACAGATGATTTCTGTTAATACTAACACACAAAATGCCCTTCCTTCCAATCACTTGCTGCTATTAGCGCATGCACCAGCATTCAAGCCACATGCCATCATCCCTGCAGCAACAGTGCCAAGCACTGGTACACCAGAAAGTACTAAACAGAGGAGGAAAAAATGTATTCTTAATATCTTATATGCACTCAGCATCTGTCATTTTGTCAGACTCATGTCTTGATTGGGGGTGGACAGTGGGTATCACAGTATCCTACTTAACACCGCACAGCAGGGCAAAGACTGGAAGGGAGAAGGGAACATGACAGCACTTAAAACACAGAAAACATAACTACTTTATAGTGGATAAACAGCTACTGATGTTTAAGTCTGCATAAAGTGAATTGATATATGATTACTGTTTAAAACTGTAAACATAAGAAACAGCTTATACACTTGTGTTTCTAACTTAAGGCACAAGTTCTATTTTTTCAGTCTCAGAGTTGAAGGAAAGAGTGGAAGGAAGCCTTTTGTATGAACATATAAGGTGCATGCACAGTGGAATTAAGGAACACAGCATTCACTGAAAAAAATTCCCAAATGCTAGCATGCACTTACTAATTCTGCTTTATTAGGGAATCATGGCAGATTTTTTTTTTTTTCTCCACACCCAAGAATGCAATAATTCATTCATAGTCATGCAGCAGAAATTATGCTGAGGAAAGAACCAAGTCTGGAAAAAACTGCAGGTTCACAATACTGTGGGGAGAAAGGGCTGCTGTGTAGAACAATTTGCTATGCCCATCCCTAAACAGAGCAGACCAATAGCCTGTAAAGCCTTTAAATCAAAACACAAGTAAAAAGAAAAAAAAAAGTCACAACAATCTTAATTTCAGCCATTATTGCTGCCTTTTGAACACATCCAGCTTCTCACGAAAGGCTTTTCTGTAAAACCTGAGGATACACACTGCAGTGGAACAAACCTTGTCATCTTGTACACTTGAAAAAATAGCTGAAAACATGACATTTTGTCTTTTCCTGCTCCTAAAGAACTAACTTTTCAGGACGAGAAAATACAGGACTGGCAGGAGGAAGAGAAATGGGATACTGCCCATCCTCCTCCCCTTCATTTTAGATTTCAACAAAGTCAGGTTACATACAGTAGCATGATAGAACACAGTGCAATTTCTTGTAGTATTCTCTACACCGCTCACTTCAATCTCCTGCTGTAATCCCGTCAGTTCCCCTCTCACAGACACATTTGCTCTTATTTTATCTACCGCTAGTCACACCTCTTTCCTACTTCACTAATCAAATATCAAAAAAATCACGTTATCAAATGCAAAATACCAAGGGAAAAAATAACCTTAGGCCAACAAATGATTAAATAAAAAGGATCACAAAGATAACCCTTTTTATACAAGAACACACAAAAGCACGCATTGACAAACGCTGAGGAACGCACGCTTTTAAACCTCAGGAAAAAGACAACATCAGCATTCCTTCTTTTCTCCAGTTTGGTTACAACATTCTTGCACTTAGGCAAGTGAAACTGCCTTTCTACCTTCTGTGACCAAAAGCAGAGCATTACTTCAGAGACAATGCAAGAGGGAGGCCTGAAGATTGCCTGTTGTATTATCCCTTTTAAATAATATTACAGGAATTTACTACGAGTAATAGCATTAAGAAGCCAAGTAAGAAAGAACAAAGGACTGACCAGAATAAGGCAAAAATCCTGAACAGTTAGAGCTTTTTACTGGCTATTCTTTAAGTCTATGGCAGTAATTTATTTACCTAATAGTTTTCCAAGGCTTTTTTTGTATTAAAAGTAGTTCAAAACATTATGTCCAGAGTTAACCACTAGTATTACACTAATACTTTGACTTTATGTACCTGTGCAATGTTCTGTGTGAATTTATTTTAATGACTTTTCAGCATTTTATTCTACAGTTGATAATTTAACTGCTTGGCTTAGACTATGTTTAAGGTACAATAAAAACAAGATACAAGTACTTTTAAAAAAAACAAAAACAGTCAAACAGGCCCCTGTCCAGAACCTTGCTGTCCTCTCCCACTACTCTGAACATAAGCTGCTCTAACGAATGGATGGTTACTTCTCACTTATTTGTACTTAGGAGCTGATGGTGCAAAATACGCTGAGCTTCTAGGGGGCACAAATGACCACTCACACTTCTGTACCCTGCTGCACTGCTGGATTAAACACCAAGTCAGGAAACATTTACCAGTACAGCTTTCTGGTCTCTCTTCTGAAATACTCAGTGTAGAGAAACTTAAGCTAACTCTTAGCACCAAAATCAGTGTACCAGCACATTTGACATGATTTATTTCAGGAAGTTAGAGCCTAGTGTGGCTCTTACCACACAAATGTTCAAGTGCTAGATCACAGGTAACACTGCATCTTTGTATCTCGTCTCAATGTTCAGAGCATATATGCTATGTGTTAACTGTGGGGGAATGAGGAAAACCTCCAGGTGATGATCTGTCTGAGACCAATAAACCTAAGGTTAATCCACATGGAATTGTACATAAGTGACCAGAGAAAAGAAACTATCTATCTAGGAGTCTGTGCGAACTACACTATTCTGCAGCAGAAAATGATCTCATCCTTTCCCCCATTTATAACTGAAATAAGGACATTTATGCAATAAAAGATACAAAGAAAATATTTCAATTAAATCTATATGCATGCTAGTATTGAGGAAAAAAAAAAGAATAAGGGCTTGTTTAGAAATCAAAGTATTTTCAGTTAAATTAATGCTGTGGTCTTAGAACCTTCCTAGACTAATTTGCAGGACAGATTTATTTTAACATGAAGCTCTACAGCTGCCTTAAAATGATAGGCAGATGTATGGTTACTGAAGAATCAAGTCCTAGTCCCGACTCAACGTGCAGATCACTACTGCTAACGCAAAGGAGACAACAGGAACATGTCTGGGGAAGCACTGACCTTTAAATTAAATACATACAAAATATCTGAAGCAAAACCAAACTAGGCCATTCATAGAGAAATGGCTATACAGAAGCAGGGAATTGCATCAGTTTATTTGTGCCAGTGTAAGAGTGTGCCTTGTGCACGTGCACACAAGGAAACAAAAAAAAATATTAAAAAATCTTCCTGCATGCAAGTTTTTTGTTGCCCCCCCCCTTTGTCTTTTATTTTTATTTATTTTTTATTTTTTGTTTTTTAGTTGCATAGCTTTCTTGTCCCTTAGAGGTAAGGAGAAAATAAGAAGAACACAAACTACTGAAACAAGTGAGCACAGTCTTCTAAAAACATGGAAGAGGAAAGAGGTTTCTACCTGTAAATGACAAGTACAGTATTTTTATTGAAGGGTTAACAGTTCCATTTACTACAGAGTGCCATACCTGTTGAAGTTAATGTCTGGATAACTAGAATACTCGGACTTCATCTTCGCATTGCGACGTGGAAAAGTACAGAAGAAAGCATTGGCCAGAAAGCTAGCAATCTGTTCTTGTGACATTGTGATGGAGTGATTCATCTTTTGTTTCAGTAGAGGTACTGGCTACCAAGTGGGAACAAAAGAAGTGAGGGGGAGGGAGAGCCAGGAGAGAAGGGAGGGAAGGAGAGAGAAAAATAATTAGCTTACCCATTTTAAAAGAAAAAACAGCAGCGCAAAATTACATTTGTTAAATTAGAGCAAGAGTAATTTAGGCCATTGGCGAACCCTTTAATCAGCAGCACCATTAAAGTCAAGAACAGTTTATTCAAGACAATTGGGAAAAAGCTTGCTTGACAAACTGCAGATTTCTAATCAATAATAATAAAAAAAAGAGACCAAGAACACACAACTTATCAAACAAAACCAGGGGAAAGAGAGGACAAAGAATAGACAGGATTTGCAATTCCTGGGCAATCTTAAAAACTGATTTAAAAAAAAAAAAAAAAGCAATTTTGACAGTTGTACAGTTAAAAACCCCTAATGAATGTTTTCAGTTACAATAATCAAGCATTGTACTTTACAACGAAAGGTGGAGGTCACTCCACAGATCATCCTATGACTTCATTTTTTTTCCATCCTCCCTGAACTAAAAAATGGACCGATAATCTTTGCAGGAAGTGTAGGATCCTTGATTCTTTTATAATCTGAATGAATAAAAAAAAGCACAGCTTCATTTTGGGGTTTGACTCTAGTTGTTGTTTTTGTTTTTTTTTTCCAGTTTAAATAGAAACAAAACTGGGGGGGAACAAACCTGAGGTGTTACACATCTTCCATTTTATCAGGGTTTAGTCTATTGATATGGAATATTCCCTCACCACATTCAAGGTAGTTTATTTCAAAACAAAACAAAAACAAAAAAGCAATAAAAATGCACCTCTATTTACCAAGGAGTCAGTAACAATTATGATAAATCCCCTTGGCAGAAGGGAGAGAACAGAGTTTTCACTTCTTCCAACACTCAGCCTTCACCATTAGCCTAGCCCCAGCAGAGCTGAGCAGCTACCTTTTAATCCTTGCAGTTCTGAATACAGAAGCTGCTGCTAATTTAGACTGTTGAATACACAGCCCTGTTTACTCCACAACACAAGTTTTCCTTCATTCTTATAATTACTACATTCACTGCATCTCATTCTGTTTTCAGCCTATTTAAGTAACACGCTATATTATGATGTCTGAAATCACACAGGTAGAGGGGGGGAAAAGAAGTCTGAGAAGCTCTCAGTCCTGTAAGCCTATAAAACTAGGTTATGCTGAACAGTATATTCTACTGGAACAAGTTTAGCTTCATATAACCCAAAAATGAAGTCTGACAAAGTCCTTAACCATTTATTAATGGTTAAGAACTGGCTGTACTGGCTAACAGTACATCTTTGTAATAGGCATTCCTACATGAACTTCTGAATCCTGTGTGTTACTTTGTGTTCAGAAACTTCTTGGCAGTCTCAAAAAATTGTCCTACCAGTGAAAGCAAAAGCTTCAATATTCATATTGCTTGAAATTATCTACCTGTCATAGAACATCTTCTGCATAAAGTAAGAAAAAATTTACTTGCTCCAGTTCAACAAAAATCAATGTAGAAAATTGTGACAAAGGAGCTTAGAAGTTAGTCCTAACCCTGCCAGTGTGTTATCATGCAACCTCACTTGTTTGATTAGTCCTATTCACTTCAACAAAATTATTCACACTAAGGCTTTTATTAGCTTTACAACCCACAGAACTGATTCCTGTAACAATAACAAAGAATTAGCTGAAGTTTTTCTGTGCACAAGTATTGCAATGCTCTAAGTAGGATAAAGTATGCTCTCACAGAATGCTTTATGAAAACACTACTTCTATGCTCTAAGAATTGAAAATCAGGTGTTTCATGCTTATTGAAGTATTTCAGTTGATAAGTATGATTCTATTATATTGTTATAGATGTGTATCGTCTATTCTGTTCCCTCAGCTTCAGCTACATTCAATACAAAAGCTATATCTTTATTAAGAATATAATATAAGCTTGATCTTTTGACCCTAGCCATTAGTTTCAGTTTGCAGAAAACCGGTCTGCCAGAGAACATTTCACTAGCTATGTTTACTTACCTGTGTGCAGATACTAGGGAGACAAAGCGCAAGCTTGACCATATCAGGAAGAATGGACTGAAACAAATGCTGGGCCTCTGCATCTTCAAGAACCTATTCAAGAGGGAAAAAATAGACCTTTTTATGAAAAATAATTTAAAAAAAAATCTCAGAAATAACTGTACAAAACAAGTTTGTGAAGACAGGATCCATTCAAAAGAAATGGAAGGAAAAAAACAGGTTCTATTAGCTTAATTCAAATCCATAGCATTTATTATCATAGTACCTCACTGCCTTTTACTATGCAATAATCCACTAAACTGAAATATACAAGCTATTCTCTCTCTCTAAAAAGTTGCTTGTCATCAAATGCACTATGAAAGAATCTTGAATAAGTTAGTTTAACTCTTTTCAAAGCAATGAACCAAATTCTCCACTAGTACAAATCACCACATAACCACTGAAGTACTGGCGTGGTTTGATTTACTTTCATATTCAGGCCGTACACCGAGGCAAGCACCTGTAACATTCTCCTGTTAAGGACACAGGAACACACTGTGGGGCAGACCGATGGTCCCCAGCAGCAGCAACAGGAAACAATGGGCACGCCAGCCTGGCCACTCTGCTCCTCACCCCCATCCCATCACGTTCCCCCAGCACCCACAGCCACCGGATTACTTTTGTTAAAGGGTGCGACCTGCTGGGTCCCTCAATGGGAGCATGCTGAAGCTGCCACCTTGCTGGCCTCTTCCTGTAACTGGCTTCCCCAGATGGAGAGACCACAACTACACGAGGTTTTTCAAAGGTTTTACACTCAAGACCTGGTCACACCCAGCCCCTCTGCCCCATTCTCAACTCCTTTCCTGACACTGTGTGTTTGGCAGCTTTGGCAAGTCCCATCTGGTTATCAAGCCAATGCAGCCAGAGCTGCCAGCAAGGAGCCCGGCTCTCTTCCAAGTTGCAAATGCCAGTTCTGAGCTCAACCAATGGAAATGAAGATGCCTACTTTCCAACACGTACTGTTCCCCATAAAACACAAGCTGAAAATATTGTTTGGAGGCTAGCAGTTTTGGATCTTCTGAGATCATTAAAATAACAGAAGTATCTCTGCTCTAGTCCATCCTCTTTCAAGTGATATGAAATGCTGAGTGCTCAGGAAGTTAAAAAAAAAAAACAAACAAACAACAAAGCAAATAGTCAGAGAACAAACAGCACGCTGTGGGTATGTGTCTGTATGAAAGAATAAAAGAATAATCCCAGTGCCTACATAGTTACTTCCCATACATTACGTATGCTGCTCAAGGATACATACAAACAAGGTGAATTAATTGTGAATTGAAACAAGAACTTACAAAGAACAGCAAACCTAGGAGATCTGAAAATCATTCAATGGAGGAGGAATGCAACTAACTTTTTTCTTTTTTAAGACTAATAAATATTTATCTCACTTCTACTGCTGTTGGCTACATATACACTTAGTTTTACACAGAATAGGTCAGATATTGAAAATTATCACCCAACCTTTATCATCATCTGCTCTAGCAGGAAACTTTTCCATGTTCTTAGATGCGATGCTTTTAAGTGCCAGAAACAAACCAAATATGCATTTAAGGACTGAATTTCAGATCTCAATAAATAAAATGAATATGTAAGTTAAATCTATTCAAGAGATGACATTTAACCTCAGATGTCTACCAGGCTGTCAAATTCTGATATTCTCTCCCCTTCGGGTAATACTTCCTCTCTTCTAGAATTGACACATAAAGAGTGGCTGCTGTGCTTTGCTGACTGCCACAGACTGTACAGTATCACTTATCTGGTGACACATTACGGCACCGGACTTTGTCATAGCTGTCAAGGCTTCAACCTTCTCTTTATGCTTCTTTTAAAACAATATAACAATGGTATGAGACGATTTCTTCCCAAAGCAGAAGCAGGGCCAGCAACTGTTCAGCTCAGCTCTGACGCAGAATACATAACCAGAAAGTTTACTTTTCAACTCTGAAATGCTACTTTTCATTCTCCTTATCTTCCTAATGTTGTACCAGAACAGCCTCCTTTCTAAATTATTCCCATACACAATTTTTACTAGACCTTCGCTAACAAAACCATCAAAATCGCAAGCTGTTAACGCTCAGAAGCATTTTCATTGGACTTCAGACAGATTATGCCTACATCAAAATGATGAATGGCTTTTTGTTGCTATTCCTACATCTAAATGACAAATGACTTTTTATTGCAGCCGTTGTTGTATTTTTTGAAGGGATTGTCACAGGATAAGTCACTTGAAGGACCCCACAACTTCAGTACGACCACTACAAGGGCTAAACTCACAAACCTTGCCAAGGAACTGCCAGCTCTACCCCTCTCTAATTGAACCAAGCAGCTTAAGTGTCCCTGTTTTAAATGCTCCCCTATTTGGGCACAGCTCTTCTGACTTCTCCCAAAAACTTTCTCCCTGAAAACAACTCCTTGGGTGCAATATTCAGTCCTGTGCTTCTCTTGAGGCTATAAGCCATTACTGAACAGCAGCAGTAAGTCAGAAGCACACAGCCTTTCTCACCTTTAAGTTCCTAGAGAACCAAGTAACTTGAGTCACAGCCACATCAGTGTAATCCTACCTTTACCTTTTCTGCCCAGGTTCTTCCTATGAGGTTTCATAGGCAGAGAACACCTGCAAAACCCTGTCTGCTTCACCCTAATCCTCTTGACCACCAAAGCAGCATACCAGCAGCTTTGTAGGCCACCCACTATCAGTGCATGTTCTCAGCTATGCTCAGTGCTGTGTGGAGCCTGGTTTTCATCTGTAACACACTTCTCAGACGTAAACAAGAAAAAAAAGGAAAAAAATGACAGTCAGCAATGGAAGGTAAACGGACTCCAAGATGTGGAGTGCTTATGCCACAGCTACACCTGACAGACATCCCACGATACGAACACCAGCATGGGAGATCCCTGCAGCAGCACAGAGAACACCTGGTCACAGAACTGAATACAGATTTATTTAGAAGGAAATCCTCTCTTCAGGAAGCAATGACTTGTACTGATATAAGAAGAAGCCTATTTAGAGTTGTACTGCATATTCTACTTATTGTCACTGAAAGACAGATGTATCATTCTTCATCCTCAAATACACACACCCACCCCATGTTCTTGAGATCCTTCAGCTTGCTGACCCAACAGGAAAATAACCCGGAGGACTAGTGCAGTGGAGGACAGGTAAGTCAGAGCAGCCTACCAAAGGGTCATGCATTACCAACCCAGCGCAGGGTAGGTAACACAGAACCAGACAGTCCCCTTGCCAATGGGCTACAAAGCAACTCTTTGCTGAAGAAGCAGCGTTGCAGTTAGTGCAAAGCTGTTGCAAGAAGAATCTCACTGAAGAATGTCTGGTACAGGGACACCTGTATATTATTGTATGTATTTTAAAATTCAGTAATTTTATTCAGTAATGTGCTTTTAACTACATACAGTCTTTTTCAAAGCTGCAACTATGCAAACATTAAGAAAAAGGAGTGAATTTAATTTTTGAATGTTTAGTATTTGTTTTATAACTTAAAGAGTTCTAAAATACAAAATGGTTTTCAAGAGTTTTTGATGAAAAATACATTAGCTACCACAGCAATTTTGTGTTTTTTTTTTTTTTTAAAAGAATTGATCTTTTTCTCCTTTCCTTATTATACATACATACCCTCTGCAGCTTCTTTCAGGGTTCAAAGCAAAACAAAAATATATTGTTGACTTTATTCATAGTCCTCCAATCATGCAAAAATTATTTAGGAATGGAATAAGAGCAGGGGTTATATCCAACAAAAAAGTACATGTAATGAGAGTTACAAAACATGAATTGCCTTTTTCCAAAGAAATCCCTCAGTGATTTCATCAGTATTTGCAGTGGAGTGATTGACTAAACACAAATGACTTAGGGCTCCAATTCATAAGATGCAAATGGTTCAGCGAGCTGTAGCAGAGGTAAGAGCTCTTGGCCAAACTTGCATTGCAATTTTACAAAATGAACATTTACAGAGCGGCAAAGAGGTCTAACTACTGCTGTAAGTAATGGCCTCTTGTCACTATAAACTAGTCCTCCAAAATGTAACGAATGAGCGTGCCTGACAGTCCCAGCAAGAAGGATCTGAGGTAGCATGGGTTGATAGTGATGGTAGAGTTTAAATCTAAATCTGACAGCTCATCAAACCAAACCTGCTACACATACAGAACACAAACTCGGACACCTCCATCTATCACATGGGAAGATAGAATAATCAAGTCAGCAGGCAAAACAAGATGCTAAGACAGCAACAGCTTAATGTTTTCAATTTGTTTTTACTTCCCCATATTAACTTCAGCAGCAGGACAATGACCACCTGAACCACGTTCTTAAGGACGAAGAGGAAAAACAGAGGTAAGACTTCAGACTTGATGTCTCGTTCCCTAATTCTAATGGGTTTCAGCCTCCTTTTTCCTTCCCAGCTGTCACAGTGCTGCCTGTACTTTCTTAGAACTGCTTTATTTCAGTTCCTGCTTGTAAATGCGCTGTCTAATCAGCTACTGCACTAAACTGCCTTTCCAGTGAGTTTTCCTGATTGCTCTAATGTAAGATCTCATAGGGTTACAGGTGGTAATGGCCTCCTAACTAATATATGAGACCAACTGGGTAACTTCTATCTACTGTATTCACAGTAATCTTATTCTCATAGTCTCAGGATTCATTCCTCACTACCTTCAATTTGTCTCAAATAAAACAAACTCTGTATTTATTTACAAGACATCAAGATCTACATATCAAACACTTCCAAACTGAGAAACCTGACAGCAAATAGAAGTGTAGCATATAACGTATCTAGTTCACCTAGACATACCATTAATATATCTCCTTGTCTTTGAATCGCAGACCTGAAGGAGAAAGGTGAACAAAGGAGTACTAGTCACATTTTTCCAAAGAGAAAGACTAGTTCAGTGCCACATGCAAGAAATCTGGTATCAGTCTGAATCATGAAGCCTAATGCAACTCAGAATGGTTTTCTGAATAGAAGTCTGATCAACTTTTGTGATTTTTCAATTTTGGTGAGGATTACGGGGAAAACAGAAAACTGAAAAAAGAGAGAAGTAAT